TTACATTGTTAATAATAATTAACGTAAATGTAAATAACATTGTCGACTTGAATTAATTGAAATATTAACTATTTAGAAAAGTTGAATATGTTATAAATATTTTAAATCTTTTGTTCAAAATTCACGATTAATTTAGGATATAAATTTTCTAGAAATTAACATACTTACCGTTGACTCGGGGCGAGTCGAGTTTAATAAATGCATTGTTATATGATAATAAGGAATATACAGTTTTATTACAATTTCTCATTTTAAAGTAAAGAGACCACAAGCATATCAATAAAATTAATACTGTTTTATTTTTTTAGCTTTAATTTAAACTGACTTTTCACAACGAAACACAAAATATTCCTTAATATTTTATTCACATTTTCCTTATAACTATTGTAATTGAGAAGAAAATTTAGTCAATTGCGATTCTGTCTATATAAACTTAAAAAACTAGACTTTTCTCCTTGTTTCAATTTAATCAGAGGCCTGAGCACGAATTTTGACAGCTCCGTAAACGTATCGCATCGTCAAAGTTTATATGAAAACTAAGCAGCGCCTCTAGCGGACGTGAAAGCAAACTGGCTCCTTTCATACATAATTTGACGATGACGATACGCTTACGGAGCTGTCAAAGGTAGTTCTTGTTCCTCAGCAATTTTAAGTTGTATATATTTGTAAATTCCTTTCATAGTTATGTTTTTTTAAGCGTTTAATTGCTAGATGTCTAAATCCAAAGAAAAGTTTACTAGAAAAAAAATCCACGCGGACCGGGCAGCAGACGGGAGTCGAACCCGCACCTTTCGCTATCCGGGCGAATGCACTGACCATTATGCTACCGCGGCCCTGACGGCCGTGTCGAATTTTCTCTAGCCTTAGGCTGCAAGGCAGCGCTATCTCAATTTCTTATTCCATTCAAATTCCTTTCATGTTATGTCGTATCATTTGTGTTTTTTTTATATAATTTTTCCTAACTTATAACAATTTTAGCTAAAATATAACGTGGAATACACAACCCATCTAGTAATTCGTTACACTTATTTCGTCCAATTAACTACAAATGTAAAACGTTTTATTAATGAAAAAAAAAAAAACGAATTTTACGACGCCAGTACCCTTAGTACGAAGTTTTACAATTACGAAAACTATGATAGTTTTCGTGAGTTCGCACTCGTACTAAGGGTACTGATTTTATTGTTTTCGTTTCAATACAAATAAAAAGTGTTTAAATTCCATCATTAAATCATTTGCGTCTTCTTAAATTTTAAGTATATTTGGTTAGTATTCACCAAAATGGACATAGAAACATAATTTACAATTACGAAAACTATGATAGTTTTCGTGAGCTTAAACTCGTACTAAGGGTACAGAAATTCTGTCTCTCTCGCCTTTTACTTAGGATAGCATGTGCGAGAAGGACATAGTGTCTCCCGTCGTCATTTGCACGAGTTATATCAACGATTCAATATGCCAACAAAATAATATATTTTTTTCTTCTTGCTACCCGCCGCAATTCAAACACATCGTGTACAAGACTGTTTTATTAATAACGCGTGATTCAACATTATGTATTACTATTTCTCATACGCACACTCATACTTGTGAAAATAATTACTCGCGTATCTTAAAATTAACAGGAAAAAAAATAAACATTTATATACTAACAATTTTCTGTTGTGTACCGATGTGTGGAGTTCGATATTTTTTGGTTACATTTTCAATTAGCTACCTGACATGACTTTACTCGAGTGCGTTTTAGTAAACATAATAAAAATGAAAATAAAGAGATTTAATTAAAAAAAATATATAGCATTAATACCAAATTTTCAAAATTACTGATAGATTTTACAAAATATAAACTCTCATACCAACCGTCTCCTGTTTTTTTATAGCGTGGTAGGCAAATGACTCTACCCCACCTGATGTTAAGTGGTGATAAAGTCCAAACGCGAAGATAGCTGGTACAGCAGTTAGAAACTGTATATTATAAATTTTCATACACAACGATAATATAATAATATTATGACACATATTGTGTTATTGAAAAAATCATTCAACATAATAAACATTATAAATATTATTCATTTTTTTATTTGTAAATCTAGCAATATAATACTTAAAATAACAATAATTATGTATAACTAGCAAACCCGGCGAACTCCGTTTCGCCACCAGATGGCTTCGTTTTATGTAACATTTCGTTTGGTGATTAAAAGAAGTTTTTTTTTTAATTTTTCCTGAATTTTCTTTGCTATAAACCTCACGGAGCCCGAGACCTTTCCAACGAATGCAAAACCGTGGAAATCGGTTCGTGCGTTCTGGAGTTATAGCGTCAGGAAGGAAAACCCGACTTATTTTTATATAGTAGATTATAATGTAAATGCTTTTAATACGAAGTAACAAAATTTACATTTGTTATGAATTCAATATAAAAAACAAAACATTCAAGATATCCAAAAAGCATTTTATTCTTTAATGAATCACAATAGATTGAGAAGAAATCCACACTTCTTGATTTACCAGACGCGTTATAAACAGTCCTAACAAATATATCGTTCTAAAGAAAAGTTTACTAGAAAAAAATCCACGCGGACCTGGCCGCAGACGGGACTCGAACCCGCACCCTTCGCTATCCGGGCGAATGCACTAACCATTATGCCACCGCGGCCCTGACGGCCGTGTCGAATTTTGTCTAGCCTTAGTTAGCTGCAAAGCGATATATTGTGGGTTACCTAAAATACGAAGAGATGGTCGTATTGTAGGTAACCCACAATATATCGTTTTTACTCAACAAGTTTCTCCACACAACGGTACACAACAGCGCATATCTTTGATTGCACAATAAACATGTGCCTTTTCCTAAATACATTCTCATACGACACTCATACAAAACGTATGACGTTCACTTCACATCACGTCACATCGCGGAATGTCACAACTTGACATTTCTAGGAAAATATCGATAACTATCATGTTAAATATATTTATACAGGTTGTACAAAACTAGAGGACAGCTGATTAAATGGGAATACTGGTGTCAATTCTGGTACGATTATCAAAACTTAAAACTACATTTAACATCAGTCTCTCCTTTTCATTCTGTATAGAGAACGACAAGGATACACTGTTGTCAAATTTAAGTTTAGGTTTAAAGAATCATGTCAGTATCGACCCCATTGGCGAAAATATAATTTAAGTGCGTCCCTAAATACTAATTATTAACGGTATTTCATTAATATTGATAAAGTAATGGCCTACTAATTTTCGTAATGGCCGTATTTAAAGACGTTAAATAAATTTATGTCACTTAGGGGGACACGCTGTCTTAATTCTAATTTCATCGCAAGGAAAGAGAGCCTTACTTTGATAAACTAAAAGTTACAAAAATACACTTAAAAGTTGATATTGACATCTCCAAGAACGGCCGTGAGCGATTAAACTTTGCAAATTAACAAGTTCAAAAGGGAATCATTTTTATTACGATGTAATATATCTGTACTTTATACCATATACAAGCATATACAAGCTGTCCCAGCATTTTGTACACCCTGTACAGGCTGGTGTGAAATTAAGTGCCAAAACTTTGTGGGATAGTTGGGTTAAGTTTACATAGCTTTTGTTATTATTTAAACGTCTCAATAGGCAAAAATGAAACTACTTTTTTATAGACCTTATAGTAAGTTACCCAACCCCATTATCAGCCTATTAATGTCCCCACTGCTGGGGCACAGGCCTTCCCTATGGATGGAATAGGGAGATTGGGCCATGACCCACCACGCGAGCCCAGTGCGGATTGGCGGGTGCTAACGACTGCAGCTGCAGCCGGGACCAACGGCTTAATGTGCCTTCAGAAGCCCGGAGGAGTGAGAGATAGTAAATTTTTGGTCACCCATCCAATGAACGACCACTGCGAAAGTTGCTTAACTTCAACGATCGCTGCCGAATGCGCTAACTACTTGCGCCATCGAGCTCCTCACATTCGTTCAATCTAGATTTGGTAAAATTTTAATTTAGCAAAACTGCTTATGACATTTTATTACACTTAACTCAAACATCTCACGAAGTCCTCACACATAATTTGATGTCACCTTACAGACAAAACAGGTGTCCAGTTTTAAATACACTGCAGCGGCTATTAAAGATATGAATTATTAAAAAGTATCTCAATACTAGTTTTGGAAATATTCGAAGGATTTATAGGCTAATAAACAATTTCTTCCTTTCCTCTCCTTCCTAAAGAAAATTGTGATTATGTCACAGTCACCATGCGGCCAGCCTCATATTCGTTTAGTAATTTGGTCATAACTTCGTCAACATTTGTCGCAGAACAAAAATAATATAATGCGATTCAAATAAGAATACGAAAGCCAATGACTTCCATCTGTCAAATGTCGCTTGAAAAGTACAGTTTGCAAAAAAATTTCGGCGCACTTTTTAGTACACTGCTGATTCTAAAATAAAAACCAAACATTATTAAACAAACAATAAAATAAAAATGTTGATAATTAATATCAGTTTTTTTTTCATTTATTGAGCTTTGGCTATGAATGGTTGATAACCTAAATCGTTAACCAAATGTCACTTCAGGTTGCGTTCAAAAACTCGATTTTAAACTTTCCTTTAGATATAGGATGCATGTTCGTATGTGACCTGCATGATTATTCATAACTTCTCCGGCGGTAATGCAGAGATGAGCGAAATTAAAGAGCTAGATTCTGATTATATTTTTATTTCACACAGTCTTAATAAAGGCATACTATTAAAAATCGGTTGTGTTCTTTCTCAACCTTAGTAAATTAATTTTATTAAAAATTCTGATGTTTTATCTCACTTCATCCTAGTAAATAAGTTTTATTAAATAGAAACATTTTTTTGCTCACTCTACCTATTTGGTTTGAATTGACAACTATGACGTCAAAATATGGCGCCGAGTCGGTCCTATTCTTAGTTGAATCGCATTATACCACTGTATTTTATGGAATCCTTAGGTCTATAAATCTGCATTTTCAACAAAAATCGTTACGGATCCTCAATTCCCCATAAAAAGTACTTCCAAAACTAGCACAGATCTCTCACAAAACAACCTTTTTTGACGACGCGATTGTAACCGCTAATGTCTTGTGTTTGCGTGCGATTTTTGCGTGCACACATACCACCTTATTCTAAATCGCGGACTAAAGTTAGTCTTGGTTTAAACCTAATGTTGTCTCTGTCATCTTTTTAGCAAACAAAAGTGGCAGCATCAGTATTAATCCAAGAAGCCTAGCGGGATATCTTATGACTTCATTTTGTTATATCTGTCTTCAAATACCTCGCGCTCATTTCCTTTAATATTGTAATTGCCAATGCAAAAACAAACTTCGGCAGTCACAAATAAAAAAATAAAATCATATGCTATAGCTATAGCAATACCGATAGGCGGTACTCCCCCAGGTTTAACTTAAGTCAACATTTTACAATAAGGCGGATCGAATTTAGACTTTCACGCGACTTTAGCCGCTAACTTCTATACTTGCGTGCGATACTCGCTTGCTTCAGTTCAAACGTGAAGTCGGGATAGTTATGACGTCATCATGTCGTTGACTGACGCGGTGTTGACGGTGGCGCCTTTAAGTAAGTCGTTTATGTCCCGCCTGAATATAGACAGGTTTTGTGTGAATCTGTGGGCAGAAACGAAGATTTGTTTTTAGGTTATAAAAATTCATGGCTATCAAGGCGTGACTGATTCCTTGACCAAAGATTGGCCCTACAATTGGCCATTGCTCAAAAATAAATAATAGAAGTAAATATCCCTCTATGTTAGTCATAAAATTGGGTACACAAAGATGTGATTCTAGCGTGATTCTTTAAACTTAAAACTAAATTTAACATCAATCTCTCCTTTTCATTCTGTATAGAGAAAGACAATGACAAATTTAAGTTTACATTTCGAGAATCATGCCAGAATCGACACCAAATAGCGAATTGTAAAAAGGTACTATTGTTTGTCATTGGTCAATTAAACAATAGACGACCGATACTCATCTAGTACAATAAAAAATGTCATATTGTGAACGGGCCCATTTGGGTAAAATAATCATATAGAGAACTCTTCAAATTGTGAACGCGTCAAATTGTGAACCCGTCTAATTGTGAATGGTCCGTTTTAACTTAACTCACCTATCCCTATTCTTAGTGAGTAGCGTGGGTTCTATCCCCGCCATAAGGGCGTTGAACCACTGCGCCAGCTGCGGTTGTTATGAAGTGGCATATTGTTTTAACAGTCATATTATGAAAACGTCACATTGTGAACGAGTCATTTGAAGAGTCATAAAATCAGTCATATTGTGAACGGGTCACGTAAAACAGTCATATTGTGAACAGGTCATATTGTACCCCATCATATTGTGAATGTGATATTATGATTATACCGAAACATATTGAGAACTCGTCGAATTGTGAACACGACAAATTGTGAACGCTCCGTTTTATTTAAGCTCACCTATCTCTATTCTTAGTGAGTAGCGTGGGTTCTATCCCCGCCATAAGGGCGGTGAACCACTGCGCCAGCTGCGGTTGTTTGTCGCGCGGCTGTTGCGCGATCATCTCCGCCCTGATGCGGGAGAACTGCTCCTCGTTGAGGAGAATCAGCCCTAATAAGGGTCGAGACATGGACCATTGGTTGCAGCAGTCTTCGAACATGATCACGTTCAAAACCTGGAAAGAGAGAACCACGACGCATTTAGGGGCCATCCATAAATTACGTCACACGTTAAGGGGGAGGGAGGGGGTCAATGAAGTGTGACAAGGGGGTTGGAGGGGTCCTAAACTTCGTGATGTCACATTTCAAAATCTATTGTAATCTAAGTGTTGAAACTATTTATTTACGAAAACATTAACAACCCAAACGAGAACAAAATGGTGCTTTGCCATTTATAAATAATTTAAAGGAGTGGGTTCAATGTCCATGGACTCAAGATTATTAAGTTTGTATCTTAATTTAATTATGCTATTAATATTTTTTGTTTTGTGAATTTCTTTAATTATTAAAATTAAGCGTTTTTTGTTTCGTTAATTGTTTGATTTGATTAATACTATTATTAAAAAAAACAATTTAAATGGAAATAAATGATTTCAGAACCACTGTTTTCATTCAATAATTTCTAAATAAAAAATAAGGGGGGGGGGTCTCACAAATGTGACCAGCTGTGACAAGGACGGAGGGAGGGGTATTATAACTACAAGATGTTTAAATCTTAAGAAAATTACACTAGAAAAGATTTGAAAAAACATCTTTAGGAAGGAGGATATCAATATGTTAGAATTTTACGTATTCGTATACGTTTTTTTCGATTTACACCACGTAAATGTAACTCACCGTAGCCAATAATTGTTGCATGATCTCCGGACGCCTCTGTAGAACTTCTATGAACATGTTGCTAGTGGTTGGAGGGGGCTGGCGCGGGTTCGATGCCTTGTTACTAGCTGTAAATAAAACATATTAATATTCATAATAATACTTGCAAGTTTAACCGCGTGGTCAAATTGGTTTCTTTACAAATTTTCACCCCCCTACAAGGATGGTTTCTTGGATAAAACCTATTCTGTGTCCTTCCCTGGGAATCAAACTATCTGTATAAATTTTTTTTAAAATCGATTCATTGGTTTAGGAATGAAGAGTGTATAAACAAACAGCCAGCCAAAACACATTTTCGCATTTATAACATTATTGGTTCATCAATATAATTAAAAATATTAAATATTTTTCCCCGCTGGTGTTCTGACTAAACTGATTACATATCCATGTATGTATAATTATGTGTATTTTATCCATTACCCTAGTATTCCAACGAATTTACTGAGTACATCCTTTTTGTTTCAGTTTTCTAAGATTATTTTGACGACCTCCGTAGCCGAGTGGTTTGTACGCCGGGTTTCATGGTGTCGCCGACTCAATAGGTCCCGGGTTCGAATCCCGGTAGGGGCAGATGTTTGTGTGATGAATACGAACATTTTTACTCCAGTTATGGATGTTTAATATGAATTTCTATCATCAAGTCATTCATAAAGTACGTCACACTAATTTCGTGATGTTTTCCGTCTCCTTTCATTTTTCCACCCCGTCCTTGTCACAGTTGATCACATTTGTGAGACACCCAAAATTAGCCATAGAACAAATAAAACCGCACACAGATAGAGATCTACATATTTTAAGGATTTTTGATAATAGTTCAAAAGTGGGTATTAGATTTTGAAATGTGACGTCACGAAACTTAGGACCCCACCCACTGGACTTGTCACACAATGTCTCACTTCGTCAGCCCCCTCCGTCCCTATTAACGTGTGACGTATGGATGGACCCCGGGCGCTCCAATTCCAGCGGAAAATCCTTTATCCTCTCTCTCTAGAAGGTTTTTGCGGATAAATAATTAAGAGTTGAGCAGCGCAAAGACGCTTATATTTAATATATAAAATAATACTTACATTTCTGTACTAATTGCTTAAATAGATGTGTAACTATGTGGTCCAGGGTTCCACAGCAACCCGTGCATACACTTGTATCTGCAACAACATCAGGATTTTTTAAATTCTAAATTAACAATAACCTATTATATTTTGTAGTAAAGATGAACATAACTATACATACCGTGAATCCCTCATATATGGAGGAAAGTATATACAGGATGTGTTGTTTCACAAAAAAATCTTTCGATTCATAAATCTAGCAGTTTAATGCTTAAAATAACATATAATCTAACTCACCTAATGCCATGAGCCCTTCTGATATCGAGGCCAGCATATACAGGGTGTGATGTTCATTAAATAAGCTATAAGTAATTACCGTCGTATTTATAATCGAGTAATTACTTGTTGCTCGACTTTGTTACTTAGCAACAAAGCAATTCAAATCAGTAAATGAAATAAAATATTCTTCAATGGATTTTTTTATTTCATAAACGAGTAATATATATTACTAGCATCAAACTATGAGTATAACAGTGTTTTTTTTTCTAAATGGCTTCCCACGGCTTGTGCATTTAGCCAATGTCAAGTGTTAAAATGTTTACAAATACTATAGCACTCGTGGTCAAAGTAATAAATCAAGTCAAAGTAAGTGGCAGTCAATTCAATCCCCCTTTCCCTATGTTTCAGTAAAAGTGTGGGGATTTACTGAAACCTCCCCGTGAACTTCTTGAAGGAACGTCGAAAGACACATTCCGCTATTTTGTTTCACTTGCCAACACTTGTTAATGATCTACCATTATTAGACACTAACATCCGCCACAACACAATTTTTAACAAGAAAAACAAAACTGCTAAACTGACGCTTCCCGATCCCGCCAAAAAGTCTAATAGTGACTTTACTTGGTTAAGAATTGTTAATTTTGACAGTTCTTACTTCGTTATATTTCTTAACTATGAAAAGAAAAATGTTGCTCAAGCAATTACTTAAGCTAAGTAATGTCTAATTCTTGTTTATAAATACGACTGTTTTGAAGGCAGTATATACAGGCTGTTATTTTTATTCAACAAACTTTAAACTGAAGAAAGAAAGAAAAATTTACTAGATTTATTCGATTTATGAATCTAACAATTTCATGCTCAAAATAATACATAACCTTTACTCACCTAATGCCGTAAGTCCCTCTGATATGGAGGACAGTATATACAGGGTGGCGTCGGAATGTAACGACGCTAAGAAAGGCATGTGGTCTTGTGCTAACCTCTCCAGTAATACGTAGTACGTCTGAGACAGTTTTGGATAATCCTGGGTAACATAAAAATAATGAATTGTAGAAATATGACAGTATTTCCTACTAATATCATTAACGTAAAATCAAAAATCATTTATTCAGTCTAGGCTGTTACAAGCACTTGTGAAGGTCAAGAAGCTACGCCATCGGATCGCCAAACTACGCTGGAGGCATTGTACCGAGAAGAACCGGCAAGAAACTCAGCAAGGGCTGTTGTTTTCTCCCTGTATTTGTTATATACAGAGTCGTCAAGTTGAAAAATGACTTCAAAGATACTTCTGAAGTCACCTTCCTTTACATCATTTAGCATATAGATATAGAGTTACAATAAATTTTATAATTAACTTTATATATAGTATATAGTAAAAAAGATAAAGGTTTTAAGTCAATTACACAAAAACGGCTGAATTGATTTGGATAAAATTTGGCACGCATATTTTAGTTAATTGTTTATTTACCTACCTACTGTGAGACCGGATACATTTCATCCTGGAAATATGTTAGGTATGTAAATAAGGCTTAAGAGGGGATGCAAGCTGAGAGACATAACTGTAATAAATTTTGACAAATAGGCGTTAGAAAAAAAACTATTGGCATTTGCCAATAGTTTTTTTTGTAATATCGCATAGTATTTACTATGCGATAAGGACAACAGTAGCAAACGCTGACATTGCTTATAAAAGTTGCAAAATTCGAGGAGGGGAAAATCGTCGAGAGCCAACTCTCGACGATTTCCTGCTCGAAAATTAGATATATCTAAAATATTTTTTACCCATAGAATAATAAGTAGTTGTTCGGCCTCAATGCTTTGATTTTTTGTAAATGCTTATTAAATCACCACACTAAACGTCTCAAGTGGGGTTAAAAATTGTTCTTTTTTGAGGGCTTCCAGTTGCTTTGAAACACAAGCTATCAAAAAAAGGAAGACATAGAAGCATAGAATGAGTCAAATTATATTTTATGTATGAACATAATTTCTTTAGTGCTTGTATGGAATTTGTATGGTGTTTGTATGGAAAAAACCTCCCCTCTTTATCTTACTAATAATAGAAATATGAAAGTTTGTAATGAGGGTTTTTATGAAAATTTACGTCACCAGTTGGCGCCACTGTTACGTGACGTCTTTTGTATGAAGTTTTTAGCGCCAACTCCATAGACCAGATTCACAGACTATGAGATCATATGCGATTTGACGGATGATTAGACCTTTCGTCTCAGTACTGCCACCTGGTGCCTGTCATTCCAAAAAACCCTCATTCAATCAGTAAAAACAACTGAACTAATTCAGTTCAAATTTAGCACACTTATAATATATTCACAGGATTAGGATACTATATTATCTCGGATTTTTTTCAGTTCTCTAATAAGTAACAATTATGCGGACTAAATTATATACTTATTTGATAGAAACTCACCAATAGATCGCTCTGTTGTATACTAAGTAATAACTTGACGAACATATTTAGTGCGTTGTCTAAAGCCTCATCGCCATATAACCTGTTAAAAATAATAAAAATTAGTGTGCACAGACCACACACCTGAAGAGAAACTGCTTTTCTTAAATAACCTAACATTATAGTTATATAAGTTATTAGCGGCCCGCCCTCGCTTCGCTTCGGTGTAGAGCTGAAGTGTAGACTACAGTTTTTGTTCTCAGGCTTGTATTATATACAATGACAATTATCTATGATTCTTCTTATAACTGCATGCAAAGTCTCAGCGCGATCTGTTTAAAATTGACAGTACAAACTTTCATTCCCTATTTTATCCCCTTGGCGGTAGAATTGATCAAAATCCTATCTTAGCGGATGCTTACGTCATAACATCTACCTGCATACAAATTTCAGCCCGATCCGTCCAGTGGTTCGGGCTGTGCGTTGATAGATCACTATGTCAGTCAGTCACCTTTGAGTTTTATATATATAGATTTACGGGGTTGTTACCATGTACCTTGTTTTAGCGAGTTTCCGATATTTCGGCACTGTTGCAAGCGCCGTGATCAAAAATACCAAAAAATAGCCTTATATCGCGTACGCTGCGGAAGTCATTGACAATAGAGCAAAGTGATGTACTGAAGTTTTATAGAGGATACCAATAGCTACAAAAAAGTCCGCGATACTATGTCTATTAGAGTTATGTCACAACTAGACGTCCCCTGTGGTTTCACCCGCGTTAATTTGAAGAAAAAGCTTTATAGTGAGTCAAACTTAAAATATGGACATAGGCTGTCGTGGACTTTTTACAAAACTTTTAAAGGGGAAGAATTCCGTCATACATGATTTTTGTGTAACTTTAACCGTTTACCCAGCGCACGCAACGGAATCTCACAAATGGAACATTTTTACCAGTTTTTGCAACATTTTTCATCGATGCTCCGCTGCCAATAGTTGTATCCTGGTAATTTAAAGCCTATACTATACTACTACTATAGGCTTCCTCGAAAATGCACTATCCCAATACAAAAATAATTTTTCAATTCGGAACAGCAAAACAATGTTGCAATCGGTACAACGGGTCCTAAACTACGCAACGAATTGTTTACTTGGAATGGAAGGTTTATAATTATTATGAAGAAAGTCATTGTGTATAATACAATACAAGCCTTTGAACAAAAACTATAGTCTTCACTACAACTCTACACAGAAGCAAAGCTAGGGCGGGCCACTAGTAAATAAATAAATCAGTGCATCTATACCCTTGAAACTTGTTTCATACCCGTTTAAAGTTTAGAGAGTGTGTGTTAATGAACCTGAACACTCTGAAGTTGGCGTAGTTGCCGCATAGAGCTGCCTTCAGTATGAAGACATTTCTCTGCCAAATATTTGTTTAAAGTTTCGAGAGTGGGTGTTCATAAACCCGAACACTGCGAAGTTGGCTTAGTTCTTCAGTATGGAGACATTTATTTGCTAAATATTCGTTTAAAGTTTAGAGAGTGGACGTTAAATGAATCTGAACACTCCGAAGTTGGCGTAGTTGCCGCCTAGAGCTGCCTTCGCTATAACAACATTTATCTGCCAAATATTCATTTAAAGTTAAGAGAGTGGGTGTTAATGAACCTGAACACTCCGAAGTTGGCGTAGTTGCCGCATAGAGCTGCCCTCAGTATGGAGAAACAGAGAGAGATGCCTTTCAACTTCATCGCGTACATTTGTTTCTTGCTAACTTCCACTGTTAAAATGCGGCTGCCTGTTGGAAACACAACTTTGTTAATGCAGATATAAGGGTCAATAAATTAATAAGCCCAACTTGACTTTCAAAATAACAAGTTTTTGATGTCATCTGGCTCGGCACACATAGGGAAGTTTAGATCACTTGACAATACATAAACAATACACTCTTTTTTGGGCAGTTGTGTAATAGACAATTATTTATGTTGTGGTTTTCTAGATAAATTATTTATTAATTATTGATACTGCCTTTATGACAACTAGCACTGACAATTAGCATAATGGCAAATTTTTATTACTATGTTATTAATTATCTTTGCAACTTTTATTAATTATTTTGCCATAATATTATAATTCTTTCCTAAACACATGTAACTGCTGCTGCTTAACCGTCATCTTAATAAGTATAAATTAAGTATAGATTAAACTATACTTACCATAAGCGCATATAATAGCAGACAATTCCCTAAACAGCAGTATTCCATTCGGTGAGCTCACGTCAAACTGTAACCGTTGATTCCTGTTCTGGGCCAATTCAGCGGTCAGTTTCAATACAGGAGTTGTTACTGAAGGTTCTGAATACCATACTTCTATGCCTCGGATTAATACTTTCATGTATACAGGATATCTGGAAGATGAGATAGGTCAAGTGGTCAAGGACAAAACAAAAAAAATTGGTTGTTTGTGAAGTCGGTTTCAGGACGATAGTATTCAGGATTCCATGGTTCATAGAAATTAGGTTCAAATTAAATAGGTCATATATCGTCCTTGCTCAGTGATTACGATCAGGTCATTATCCATCTAGGAAGTTTGCACATTTGATGAAGAAAGCTAATTCTCCCAATTGTGAAGTATGTAACAAAGTGGACGATGTCCAACACATTTTAATGGAATGTGTGAAGAACAGTAGAGAGAGAGAGAGAGCTATTCATACAACAATATCAACGTAACTTTGGGAATATAGGTTCCTTTGTGGAAATATTAGCACTACCAAACTCAGACGCAGCAAAGTCGATGTTGGATATAAGCAGTGGTCAGTCATTGGATGGGTGACCAAAAATCTTCTATCTCGAGTTCCTCCGTGCTTCGGAAGGTACGCTAAGCCGTCCCGGCTGCATCTGCAGTCGTTAGCACCCGCCAAACCACACTGGGCCCGCATGGTGGGCCATGGCCCAATCTCCCTATTCCATCCATAGGGAAGGACTGTGCCCCAGCAGTGGAGATATTAATAGGCTGATGATGACGTCCGTTGTGGAGCTGCTAAAACTTTCATTAAGTACTTCTTCACATTTGACGCGTATCGTGATGGAATTCAACTATTCGATATTGGTTCGTGCTAAGGGTACTGATGCACCAGTAGAAATTCGACATATCTATTAAAGTCTAAAGCATAACGGTTAGTTTGTTCATCAGGATAACAAAATGTGCTAGTTTGTATAGTCTCTCTCATAAAGGTTGACCAAAAAAGTTTCCAGTTCAAAACGTTCTTTAAAGTAATTGTTCTTTTACTCCAATATTGGTGTCGATTCTGGCATGATTCTCTAAACCTAAATTTGATAACAGTGTATCCTTGTCATTCTCTTTACAGAACGAACAGGACAGACTGATCTTAAATTTAGTTTTAAATTTAGAGAGTCATGCCAGAATACCATACCATTGACGACCTCCGTGGTCGAGTGGTTTGTACGCCGGGTTTCATGGTGCCGCCGACTCGAAAGGTCCCGGGTTCGAATCCCGGTGGGGGCAGATGTTTGTGTGATGAATACGAGCATTTGTACTCCAGAAATGGATGTTAAATATGTATTTCTATATACATATACTTATATATGTACTGTATATGTATTCTATGCGTTACCCTAGTATCCCATAACACAAGCCTCACAGTGCTTACTTTGGGGCTAGGCTAATTGGTGTGAATGTTGGATATATTTATTTATTTAATATAATGACAATATAACTGCAAAATCCAGACTCAATACTCACATCCAATCAAACAGCATCATATACGTTGTCTTCGTGTTGAAAGCAAACGCCAATCCTCTGAGATCTCTGGCTAAGCCAATGAGCGTCTTCTTGGCATCCTCAGATGTGAATATTGGACTCTCTGGTGACCCCAGGAGGCCTATTATACTCTCCATAGCGGCTGAAATAGATGCAATTATTGGTGAAATATTTATTATAGGTAACAGAAAAATTATTGAGCTAAATCACAGTCTAATATTAGCCTATCGTTGGTTATTTAAGGAAACATAGGTTATAGTTTGAAGTCCGTTTATAGAGTGAAATAAAACATTACAAAATAATTGAATTAATAATATAGCTTACTTGCTAAAACTATCTACGTAAATAGCGGATTGCGACGTGACCTAATTACGTTTCTGATAGGTATACACTGCAACAGACAAATAAACTTGCGCAGTCGACGTTTATGGATATGTCGTAGAATGATATGATAAATCGAATTTTCGCGATAATTTTCGGGATTTTGCGAAAACATCGGTAATTACAGTCCGTTCATCATAATTTATCCTTTTGGGTGAACAATTTTGGCACAACTTATTAACAATATCACTTGTTATATAAATTGTTATTATAGACTTAAACTAATTGAATCTAGTTATCAGGTGATTGTTAATGCTGCATTTTCAATATAAAAGAGTGCCAAGATTCTTTACCAGGTGGGACAAGATATGATGAACGGACTGTAGACAAAGGAGATTGCTCAGCTTCCATACATGTTTGGCCTAAAGACCAATATTCATGAAAAATTGATTCCTAGATTAGAAATTATATATAAATTACTGTAGAAACGAATATTATTGACGGACACCCCTGAGAACTTCTATAAACCATATACACTGAATGATTTTGAGGTTATGTTTGCAAATAGGTACATAGGTATTAAAATAATAAAAAACAAATAAATTACATAGTAAATTAATCAAGTCAAGTACCGAAATTAAGTATTAGATTCAGATAAATAGAGCATGTAGATTAACAGATAGTTGCCTGTTTTTAAAGTTAATGCACAAGAGTAACTTTTCAAATCAGGTATCATCTACGCATTTCCGGTTATAATAAATTACTCTGTGACAGAAACTATGATGATTGTGAATGAGCCACAGATTAGAGAATTTTTAAACTCTCGTTAACCAAAGAAAGCTAAGAGATTTAGGGTATACAGATATCTTCATTAGCTTCATTATTTTTGTTATGTTTATATTATAACCATATTTTAGATATTAAGTGCATCACACCTTATAATGTGTTTATGGAGGTGTTTGACGAAAAATGTATAACAATAGACTTTATGATGTCGCCTACCATCTATAATAATTGTCTTAGCACATTTGCATGTAGTGAAAATGATAATATAGTTGTGGATATTAATACCACAGTGTAATAAAAAAAAAGTTTTATTTAATCGATCTTTAAAAAATATATTTGTTTTGATGTTATATAAACAACTTCTATCAGTGTTTGGATGAATGTACTACACCCATAGCCATTAAAAATGATTCGTATGTTTTCCAAACGGGTAAAATTAAAAATCCTTTTTAAAATTTATATATTATACAAAGGTGTCCGTTAAAATCTAATGACTGTAAAATAAAGTATAAATTACACCAAGAATTACCGTATATGACAATATTTTTTGTACATTTGGGCCAATTTGAACAATCTCCTTTGCTGACATTGCTCAATGTACTGTGAACATTTTTTTTCTGGCGCTTGACGCTGACGCGACACGCTCGGTTCGCATGGTTGCAACACAAACTTCAGCTAGTCAGAACCAAAAATATTTATAATAAGCCAACGATTCTTTGCGCAATTATACTGAAGCAACTTGCGTTTTCGATAAAAATCCTATATTCTTTCAGTGTGGTTGAGAATTGTCATCGCCTTTGTCTTATAAGCCGCGTTTTCGCAAAATCTCTTAAGTTTTAGCGTAATTCGATTTAACAAATCATTGTACGACATAGGTATATAATTATGCTTTGCATTAAAAGTTTTTCGGGTCGTATTCCTAATGTGAAAAAGTATTACTGACCCGTTTAGATATGAAAAGTATGAAGCAGACATTCTTTGAAATTTTAAAAGTATTGCGAAAATTTTGAAACTGTCTTAACGATAAATAAATAAAAATGTTAAATTTGGATAATTGGCCCCTAAGAAGGTGAGTGTAATGAGAAGTTAAAAAAAATAAGCGATATTTTTTCTGCAATATATTATGGCTGCAACACATCGATCCTCAATATTGCAAGCAATGTCCCGGCACGAGGCCTATTATCTAACTTGCAACAAATTTCGGATTTGACGACCTCCTTGGCCGAGTGGTTTGTACGCCGGGTTTCATGATGTCGCCTAATCGAGAGGTCCCGGGTTCGAATCCCGGTGGGGGCAGATGTTTGTATGATGAATTCGAGCATTTGTACTCCAGTCATGGATGTTAAGTATGTATTTCTATATAAATATACTTATAATGTACCAGTATATGCATTCTATCCATTACCCTAGTGTCCCATAACACAAGCCTACCGTGCTTACTTTGGGGCTAGGCTAATTGGTGTGAGTGTTGGAAATATTTATTTATTTTATCGGCGACTAGTTGCTACAAGTGCTTTGAAAACAGTTTCTTTAATTACGTCCTACGAAAGGGACTATCAGACTGACCTGTGACGGGCATCATGAATGCGTGGAATCTCTCCTCGTCCTCTCCTAGCTCGACCATCAACAATCTGCCTAGAGCAGTATATAACATAGTTCGACATCGCATTTCCGATGTGCCTACACCGGATATACCCAGAAAGGGGAAGTGTTCCGCCTGAAACAAAAATAATTAAATAAATTAAGATGATATTTATATGTAATATATAAAATTCTCGTGTCACGGTGTGCGTAATTGAACTACTCCGAAATAGCTTGACCGATTTTCGTGAAATTTCATATTGAAGAAATAGCAATTAAGAGTTAGTTACATATTTTTTATTTTAAGCGTTTAACTGCTACATGTTTAAATCTAGAAAATATCACTAGAAAAAAATACGTGGACCAGGCAATAGACGGTATTCGAACCCGCAACCTCCGCTATCGGGGCGAATTCATTCAGGTAGTAACTTTAAAATTTTCAAAAATATTTTTTATTATATGATGTAACTACAAATTTTACGAGTCTCGCAATTTTTCCTTTATCGGTACTTATAAGACGTTACTTTATACCAAGTTTCAAGATTCTAAGTTCACGGGAAGTACCCTGTAGGTTTTGATTCCCGTGCGAGTTTAGAAAATTTGCGGCATAAGCGGCTGTATGTTTTGATTGTTTTGGCTTAGAAGTTTGATTTTTTCACAGCTCCAAGGGACAGTAGACCTGAGTATGAGATATGAATTTCAGTTTGATACCTCCACGCAAACCTGAGAAAAACTGTCTTGACAGACGGACGGACGGACAACAAAGTGATTCTATAAGGGTTCCGTTTTTTCCTTTAGAGGTACGGAACCCTAAAAACGAGCGTGTTTATGACCACACGACTGAAGTGAAACTTCTTTAGCTCCATCTGTATGTATATTATATATATATATATATGTACAATATATACATGTATGTACATATAGGTACATATTTCATTTACTAGCTTTAAGAGAAAGAAAATGTACGCGCGTATTGCTTTATCTTGCTTATATCCCCCTCAACTCGCGTTCGCCTCGTCCGAACACACTTTTTGTAACGCGTTCACCAGTCAAAGCGTTACTCCCCAAGTCAAGCGTACGCAAAGAACTTTCAGTTCAATAAATTAAGTATTTGTTTTCTCCACATAGGAAAATCGCTGCTTATATATTTATATTAAATACAGATGCCAACAATTGATGCTTTATTTTTCATATTAGCAAATAGCCTAAAAACTTAAGTTAACGTGGACAAAGTCTAAAGTTAGGTAACTTGTTTTTGAGAACCCCTCAGGATTTTTTTCGGGGATATAAAGTATCCAATTTTTTTTGAGTGTGTATGCTGTTGGTCGCAGATGACCTTTTACAGCGTCACCGGGTTTGGGGACGGCGAGATCCTAAGGGGACCGGATAGTGCCTCTAGAGATATTCCAGGAGGATGGCATCTCCCGGGGGGAGTCTCCTCTCCGTCTGGAGCCTCTAGACCACTAGAACCTGAGGGGGTCGGCTCAACTAGAGGGCGTCTCTGAGACTCGGATCTCGACTCTAGTTAGCCGTTGTCGTGGGGGGCGGGGAAAACCGCCCAGGTAAGTATCCCATGTCCTTTCCCGGGACTGAAACTATCTGTATCCCAAATTTCATCTAAATCGGTAAGTGGTTTAAGCGTGAATAGGTTACAGACAGATAGATACATAGAGTATGGATATCGGATATTTTCAAGCACGTCATCGACAAATTAACAGTGTACAGGGTCTATAAGTATGGTTACCGTATGATGGGTGAGCATGAACTGCGTCTCCTCCAGTTTGACCAGTTTCCTCACGCACGAGTAACCACCGCTGAGATCGCTTAAAAGGCCGAGCGTTTTCGCTATTATTTGCTCGCTGCCACCCCAGTACTTGAGGTTGGTTATTCTGTAAGACAAAAAAAACAATGTAATTTTAAAGTAGGTACATTTTACTAAGAAAAAATCCATTACGGTTATAGGTATATATTTTTTAAGCGTATGACTGCTAGATGGTCAAATGTAAAGAAATTTTGACTAGAACCGCGGCCCTGACGTCTGTGTCGATTTTTCTCTAGCATTTCTAAGGCTGCAAGGCAGCGTCATCTCCACAATGTCAAATAAATATCTTTACAATTATTAAAAATTTGAAAAAAGAAATAGCAATTATAATTACAATTTTATTTTTTAAAGCATTGAACTGATCTGATGTTTAAATCTAAAGAAAAATTTAAAATGGTCCATGCACCCGCCCGAATAGCGAAGGGTGCAGGTTCGAGTCCCGTCTGCTGCCTGGTCCACGTGGTTTTTTTTTAGTAAAAATTTCTTTAAATCCGTTAGGGTCCGGTTTCTTGCTGGATTCAAACCAGTGTCTTTGGCTATTGGGGTTAATTCAGTGATAGCAAGGGAGCCCAAGCGGGGATTTTTGGATTTACTCGAGCACGGCAGAATAACATAAGGGTAAGGGCACCCTTTATGTTATTCTCCGTGCTCGAGTAAATTCCCTCCCTCCCTTCACCATGGAGGTTAAAGAGAAGGAGAACGAACGCTGTAGAAAATAGTGTCCCAGAAATATGGACAAAATAAGTGAGGCGCTGCGATCGCTAAGTTGTCTCAATAAAAGCGGGCTGTTGTGCGCCAATGCCGCGAAGAAAATTTGTACATTATTCAACTAACTTCATCTACTTGTACTCATAAACAGCTAACTTCACAGATACTACTTACCGACGGCAGCGCGGCTGGTGGCTGAAAAATGAACTATAAATTCTACAAATTTTCAGGGACACGCGGGCTAATGCTTTAGTGCGTAGCGATCGTTCTCCTTATCTCTAATCTCCATGGGGGCAACTTTGCTCCTTGTGAAGAGAGCAGTGACGCTTTGTTCTAAGCACTTTCTTCGTTGCGTACTTTGTGCTTACACATTTATACTCTGCGTTGTTCTTCTACAATAACACAATTTTAGACCTTACGTACTACATTATAGAAGCCAGTTTGACTCACATCTTCCTCATGAGCACACTCAGCAGCTGCGACTCATCGTTGAGTCCCAACACTTCGCTCAGTCTCCGGTACACTTTACTGTTCTTCTGCACTTGCTCGCCGACATAAATCTTGCGGAAATGCTCGAAGAAAGACATCATAGCCAACTCCAACTTTTCGCAACCACCCTGTAAGTAACATAAAAATAAATAAATAAATGTTTCCAATAATCACCACCCACTTTGTTAGCATCTGTGTTTAGAATGAATATTGGCAGGGGTTTTTACTATTTTTACAAAAAAAATATTCTTATTTTACTAAAAATTGTATCGTTTGACGTTTTAATAACAGTCGTGTGACGTCACACACTAGTAAGACGCCATATTGTGCAGAAAAACGTTTTCGCGGCAACTAGAAAATGGAGTTTTTGATTTGGTTATTTTTACTGAAATACACAACAGAATAATGAATATCCACTTTTTAGGGACTCCATAAACATTAAATCAATAACGTGAGATCGTTTTCTAAAACTTGTTAAATATCCTATTAACATATCTTGTTATATATGTTAACTAGTGGCCCGACCTTCGCTTCGCTTCGGTTTAGAGCTGTAGTGTAGACTAAAACGACTCTTCATATAATTATAAAAAAAAACTGAAAATGGTATATTTGCCTTTTCCAAACTTCTATTGACATCACGTCACTCAATTATTTTGCCTTCCCGGCTCTTCACTAACATTTGAAATTTATGGTATGGTATTAAAGTTCAAATTGACTTTTAAGAATTTTTACTCATAGTTTGTATGGGAGTATATAAAGTGTTGTATTTGGACTTTTTCAGGCATTTTTTTAATTTTCCTCTGCGTAAGAACCATCCTCATACTTCAAGGAATATTCTAAGAAAATAATTATCGAAATTGGTTCAGCTGTTCTCGAGATTTGCGCTTAGCAACACATTCAGCGATTCATTATTATATTATAGATTGGTGTGTGTTGTAGTGTAAAGCATAAAATAATTTTAATAGAAACAACTTAAAAAAAACTGAAAAGGAATAAATAAGACTTGACTGAGAGATATATTTGAAGTCGATAGCATTATCATGATCTCTCTGCTAAACACATGGCTTGGAATTGACTTAAAATTATATGCACAAACTAGTGGCCCGCCGGTCGCTTCGCTTCGGGGTAGAATTGATCGAAATCCTTTCTTAGTGGATGCCTACGTCATAACATCTACCTGCATGCCAAATTTCAGCCCGATCCGTCCAGTGGTTCGGGCTGTGCGTTGATAGATCACTATGTCAGTCAGTCACCTTTGAGTTTTATATATATAGATAGAGCTTCAAATAGACATATCAGTTGGTAATCTATTTTTTTCATCACTTAAGATTTTTTTAAGATAGTTCTATTTTTGGTCAAAAATTAATTTACTTTTTCATTTTTAGTGTAATTTAGCGTAAGTCGATTGAAGTGTACTGATTTTTAGTACTCGTTACGTCTGTTGTGGCGCTGCTGTTCAAGTTTCCATACAAAATTTCACATTGACATTTCGCACTCGCAAACTGTTTGAATTCGATAATGGTTCGTGCTAAGGATACAGTACCCCTAGCACAAACCAATATCGAATTCGTAACATTTGCGAGTATGAAATGTCATTGTCAAAATGTGTACTGTATTTTAGTTCCCGCTACGGGAACCTAAAACTGTGGCTGTTCCCAAACTTTGAACGCATTATAATACTACTAAATTGAAGATTAGTGATAAAACGAATAATTTACATTGAAATATGAAATTTTGGAATCAGCCTGGTTACACAGACCATCATCAGGTTCACTTGCAGCTATTTTGCAACTACACTCGCGAGCAACCAAATCGACTCAAGCGCTACCTTAGCATTCAAACATTGTTTAAAGTAAAAGTATACAACATTTTAATAAAAATGATATGTCATTTGAAAGTTTGAAACTTCAGCTTTTATGAGATATCATCATTTATTAATATCCATGTATATTTTCTTTATTTTGTCTGAACTGAAAATAGGGGGGAAAATGGGATTATGGATAAAGGAGTTGTGTTCAGAATTGACACAAATAAAACACGTTTTTTTCTTAAGAAGTATAAAATTTATATTTAGTCCATACAATGATGTAGAATTGAAGTTGACGTTGTGACACTTTTCTACTAAAACTAAATCTAGTTTTACTTGAATCGAGATTTAGTAAAATTTCTGCAAGTAAACCTTAGAATAGCTACAATTATAGGTCTTTTTAATGACACTTTTTTGAATTATGATTTGAGGAGCTGGCGAAGTAAACTTGAATTTGAATCTCAAATAATTTTTAATCAAAACCGCCTAAAACAGTGTAAAAATTACTAAATTTATAAATTAAAAACCATGCCAAAATCTCACTGGAGGTATGTCATTCAGTTTTATATAGCTCCTGTTAAATTTAATTTTATGTAATCACACCGTTTTCTTAGCCAGCTCTTCATTTTATATGCATTCAAAATTCGCACTATTGAAAATACTTTTTTGTATTTTTTTTTACCTTTAGTCTCAGAGGTAGTTGAAAAGAATATAGTTATGTAGTGCGTGGAACGAAACACGCCACCGTGCATGGCACCTTTACCGACATTATGTCTTTGCCGCGACATGTACGACGCGCGCAAAGCCAGTTCACGCGACGCATTCAATGAGTGGCACACGGCCGACACAGCTCGCACGAAATGTTTGTTGTATTTAACGATAGAATCTTTTGTTGTGTTCTCGGTAAATGAATTACACGAATTTAGAGTCATATCAGTCAATTTTATTTATCCAAGAGCCTACAGTTATAATTTTTATTTTTTTTAAAGCATGTAACTGATTGATGTTTAAATCTAAAGAAAATATAACTAGAATAAATTCCATGCGGACCAGGCAGCAGACGGGACTCGAACCCGCACCCTTCGCAATCCGAAAAAAAATTTTCTAGTTATATTTTCTTTAGATTTAAACATCAAGCAGTTACATGCTTTAAAAAAAATAAAAATTATAACTATAATTGCTATTTCTTCTTTCAGATGTTTAATACTAGTAAAAGTATTCATTTGACATTGTGGGTTACCTATAATGCGAAGAGATGGCGCTGCCTTGCAGCTTAAGAATGGCTAGAAGAATTTCGACACGGTCCGTGAGGGCCGTGGTAGCAAAATTGATCAGTGCATTCGCCCGGACTGCGAAAGGTGCGGGTTCGAGTCCCGTCTGCTGCCTGGTCCGCGTGGAATTTTTTCTAGTTATTTTTTTTTATTTAGAAGAATATAGTTCTTTATTATGATCAAATGCTCACCCTAGCCAGCCTGGAGTCGGTGAGATCCATCAGCTGTAAAACTCTGCAGACCAGCTCTCCGTCCATGGCGTCGTTTTCGTCGCAAGTGTTGACTGAAGCGCGACCGCCTATCGCAGCACCGATTATGTATACCAACCAGGTTAGTTGACCTGAATAAAATAAAATAATCAACATTATATAAATAAATAAATAGATATTTCCAACACTCACTAATAAGCCTAGCCCCAAAGTAAGCAGTGTAAGGCTTGTGTTATGTTATTGGATACTAGGGTAACGTACTGGAGTACAAATGCTCGTATTCATCAAATTCAATTCACAAACATCTGCCCCCACCAGGATTCGAACCAGGGACCTCTTGAGTCGCCGTCGTCGACACCATGAAACCCGGCATACAAACCACTAGGCCAAGAAGGTCATCAAAAATAATCTATACATATAATAAAATGGTAGGAAAGTCAAAACTGTACATTGAATATTTTTTTAAAATAATACCGAAGCCAAAATATACTTTTTAGAACCGCAGGGACCAACAGCTTAACGTGCCTTTCGAAGCACGGAGGAACTCGAGATAGAAAATTTTTATTCACCCATCCAATGACCGACCACTGCGAAAGTTGCTTATCTACAACGATCACGGAATTTTTCTCGTAAAATGTTCTTCAAATAATTATTTTTGTAACACACGACGCCGCCTAAGAGGCGTGAGTGTTAAAAATATTTTTGAATTTGATTCCCGGTTATGGCAGGCGTTTTTTTAAAAATCCGTGAATGCAGACTACTTATTATTAAAAATAAAATGATGTCTTCTTTCAGTAAAATATCCTATCTTCAATATTTAATATACTTTCCCTCCGTGTGACAACCCCGTGGGACGGCCTGTACAATATAGACTAACCATTAGCGTCACCATCTTTTTGCCTTTTGTCCGGTTTTTTAATTTGTCCGGATTTTTTTAATGACATGGAATATGTGTTAAACTACTTATTAAGTTATATCAAATATGTCAAATAATCTTTATTAAGTTCTCATTAGTTTAAAACAAAATATAAATTATCTTTAAAAATCAACAACGAGAGCGTCTGCTACCACGCTTATAACATCACTGTAACTAAGTGGGTGATGTTTGCATGCTGTGACTAAAATGTCCGGCATTTTAACTTAAAGTCCGGCTTTTTGTCAAAACACTTCAAATTTTCAAACAGTAACCTGACTCACCATGTAACACAAGTAATCTCTGCGGCTGAGTCTCCACACTGTAAGCTGCCGCGGCTCTATCCAAATGTGCCACCAATAGCTGACAAGTCTTTCCGTACTCGCATCGGCCAATCACGGACAACTGTTCCAACTGTTGTTGAACTGTCCCAGTGTCATCCAGTGGATCTTTACATATATAATGATGCCAATTCTGGCGTGATTCTCTAAACTTAAAACTAAATTTAACATCAGTCTCTCCTTTTCATTCTGTATAGAGAACGACAAGGATATACTGCTGTCAAATTTAAGTTTAGGTTTAGAGAATCATGCTAGAATCGACACCATTATAGACTCACCATGTAACACAAGCAATCCCTGCGGCTAAGTCTCCACACTATAAGCTGCCGCGGCTCTATCCAAATGTGCTACCAACAGCTGACAAGTCTTTCCGTACTCGCATCGGCCTATCACGGACAACTGTTCCAACTGTTGTTGAACTGTCCCCGTGTCGTCCAGTGGATCTTTACATATTGTCACAAACGCTCTCGAAACGGAACCGCGAAAGTGCTAGAGATCGAATGCGCCAGAGCACCGCGAGTCGCGATATAGACGAGTAATGCGGCTCATTCTAAAATGAGCCTTATGCAGTGCGGCGTAAGCGAGAAAGTGCAACGACATCTGCACTTGTTTACAAGTTATGCGCGTTACCTGCGTAGGTATAAGTAGGTACTTTGTACTCGCGGGTGCTAGCTAATTCTCAATTGAACAGGTACTTTCTAGAATGCGTCGATCGGCGTATATAAGCGCGATTGGCGCCGCGCAGAGACAGTTGAGTTTCAACAGCGATTTCGGAACGAATCCAAAGGCGATCAAAGTGCAACCAAGTGTTCAAGTGAGATTGTTTAGAGACTTGTATAGTGAAATACAGTGTTTAGTGAGTGTTTTGTAATTAACATTGCGTGTTAATTGTGTGAACTGTGTGGTGAATAAAGAACTGTCAAGCGTGAACTGGCATATAATTTCGAACCCCACCGTAACAATATATAATATAGACTCACCATGTAACACAAGCAATCTCTGCGGCTGAGTCTCCACACTATAAGCTGCCGCGGCTCTATCCAAATGTGCCACCAACAGCTGACAAGTCTTTCCGTACTCGCATCGGCCTATCACGGACAACTGTTCCAACTGTTGTTGAACTGTCCCAGTGTCATCCAGTGGATCTTTACATATATAATATAGACTCACCATGTAACACAAGCAATCTCTGCGGCTGAGTCTCCACACTATAAGCTGCCGCGGCTCTATCCAAATGTGCCACTAAAAGCTGACAAGTCTTTCCGTACTCGCATCGGCCTATCACGGACAACTGTTCCAACTGTTGTTGAACTGTCCCCGTGTCGTCCAGTGGATCTTCTAAGCCATCCCTGTTGAACAAAAAGTAACATAGTTATAACTTGCCAAAGAAAACATCACATTCTTTGTTTTAGGCAGAAAAATAGGTGTAGTTTTATGAAGCTATGATGCAAGTGAATCGCTTAAATTCATAAATGAGGAGCTGACGAACAAAACAGTATAATTACGCATATGGTTTTGATCATATAATACTTTTATTTTTACAGACGCGTCATTCACGCGTTGGTCATTGTCAAATGTGTACTGATATTTAGTTCTCGTTGCGTACTTTGTGGCGCTGCTGTTCAAGTTTACATACAAAATTTGACATAGACATTTCGCACTCGCAAACTATTCGAATTCGATAATGGTTCGTGCTAGGGGTACTAGTCCTATTAACTGGATTGGAAACGACGCCCTATAAGTCACTAATTTCCCATTTTGTGGAAAAGTCGCCTATGGGATACTCACACCTTTTCTAGTGTGTTGGTCCTTCGAGCCGGATCTAAAAGTGCGACTTGTAACATTTGGTCTTAAGGAAGTTACAAAGAGCTATAATCTTAGAATAAAGAAGGGAAGATACGGCACTCGCAACTCAAAAGTGAACCGCTTAAATTATGGTGCACGACCACAATTCGCTTTAGTCACAATTGGCCATTCAAACACGCTGCATGTGCATTCAATATAACAATATCGCGTATATTCTGTGTTATAAAAATAAAACAATGGCTTCGATGATTTTATAAAGAACAACAAATAGTACAAAATCAAATAACAAATGCCATGGCAACACTTTTCAATCCTAAAACTGTAAAAACATTTTTTTCTCAAAAATCACGGTTTGTTGTGAAGCATTTCTTTACATAATCGCCATTTGTTATCTAGAAAAAGACAACAATACAGTTCAGCCATGCGGACTCGGACGCGGACTCGCCGTTCTGTCTCGCTCGCTCGATTGAATTAGAATTATTTTTATTTTTTTGATGTGTAACAACATCTTTCCTCTCGCTTTCCTGCAATTTGTGGGAGTACTTTCGTGAAATGGGACGGAAGTGTGTAACAGAAAGTCGCGAAAGCGCGCGCTATTTGATTTGATTTTAGAACATAATGTTCAAATGGCTTATTCCTTTTGTAGTAGGTTTTATTTCTTTTTTTAATAATATAAGGTGAGGTTTCAAATGTTACACATCATACGCGACTAGTGTAAGGCTCGCTCGTTTTTATTTATTTATTTTGTTCTCTTACACAGAATAACATAACATAGTGGTGAAAAGTAAGGTGTACAGCTAATTCACAATATAAGTACCTAACTTATAACTCTATGTAAAAGACTGGCTTCTGCACTAGGAGAACCTGTATGACAGACAACCAGCCTCTCCGACTCTGGATCAGGTAGATAATAGTACCTTTTACTAATAATTTAACATAAATATTAACTTGTGAGTTTGTGTTATGCTGTGTGTGCGCGTGTGTGTGTGTGTGTGTGTGCGTCTGTGAGTGTGGGTGTGTTGTGTAGGTGTGTGTGGAAGTGTGTGAATGTGTGTTTATGTTGTGTACTCGTTATTAATTTAATAACATTTTGAGTTATTTATGTAGGAACAATTAGAAGCTCTTCAGTGGCATCATAGCTAGGACCCTTCAGAAAAGCAGTATTAGTGTCACCGCACACGGGTCACCGACCACAACCACAAAACGCCGCCACCGGCATAGTTCTTGTAGTTTTCATACATTTTATATGGACTCGCCACACGCTACAAATCGTCGTTGCTCGCTTCTTGTGGCCCGCACCGGCCACTTAATGCGCCGATACAAAACGCCGCCACACGTCACTCGCGCGATTTTCCACCCCTCTCTCCCTTACCTTAGTCGGCCGCTGTCGCGCGCTTCAGCCACTTTAGTAGCCGCTTCTAGCTTCTCGTGGCGGCGTTTGTGGCTGTGGCGTGTGGCTCGTGTGCGGCGACACTTAGCCTCTTTACATTTAAACTTTGTCAAAGGGTAAATTTTAACCTTCTGATTAATTTGATTATAAAGATATTGACCAAGAAAACCAAAAAATCTATTCGAAAATTTTGTGAACCACACATTTTTAGATATATAGACTTTGTGCTTCAGTCGCTTTGATGAGTTTAGAGAAGGATAAAATTCTCTAAAATTCTAAAAGTTTAGTTTAAAGAAGTGTGAGTGTGCGAGAGTTGCTTATGTAGTTGAGTCGGAGCATATTTTATTTGATGCTAGAATGATCGTACCGTATCTTCCCTTTTTCTTTAAATCTACGGCTACAATATAGTGATACAGTAAACTGAATAAATGATTATTATTATTATTATTAGTGCACTCACGTCAATACGCAGGCCACAGAGTCCAGCCTGGAGCCTATATACGCAGCCGTCACGCCGGGAGCGTAAGTCTCCAGCAGATGGGGCTCCGACGCCTTCACGTATGGCACTGAAGCCACCATGCGTTGCCATAGCGACAGGAGATAGTGGACAGAGTTCGGGGCGAACTGCCACATCTAAAGAAATAAATAAATAAAAAAATGGGCCGTTAGATGTGTGGTCGGTACCCCTAGCACGAACGAATATTGAATTCGTAAAGTTTGCGAGTCCGAAATGTCATTGTCAAATGTGTACTGATTTTTAGTTCTCGTAACGTACTTTGTGGCGCTGCTGTTCAAGTTTCCGTACAAAATTTGACATTGACATTTCGACATTCGAATTCGATAAGGGTTCGTGCTAGGGAAACCGATCACACATTTACCGGCCCATTTAGTTTTAAAAGTTTCAACGGTCTATAGCAAAAACAAAGGTATGTTTATGATTGAGCGTTAAATTTTAAAAACACAAGAACAGATGGTAGACGATGGTCAGAAATGATGGACTGGTCCGCGTGGTTTTTTTTTCTAGTAAACTTTTCTTTAGATTTAAACATCTAGCAGTTAAATGTTTAAAAAATAAAAACATAACAAGAAAATATGTTTAATAAATTACCTTCAAAACTGCGTAGATTGTAACTAACTAGAGATCGGAGAATCGGATTCATATTGACCTAAGGTTGAGATAATGGCTATCATGGAAAGTACTTTTTAACGAAAAAAATCCCACGATTCCAGGGAATTCAAATTCTAGTAAATACTCCGTGAGATCTTATAAAACAAAATTTGACACAAATGACACGTTGCCTGTGTTAGATGCGTAATGAATAAACTAATATGTGGTCATTTTTGTTTTCTTTTTTCACCACACCACCATTTCTTTTAAATCTTACAGTAGATATATACTTAACATACCCTAGATGCCTTAGAAATATCTAGACCGAATAATTAATGAAAATCCTCTTTTAAATGACTTCGTTTTATTTAATAATTTTATTAATATATATTGACATATAACTTTGATTACTATTCCTTCTTTCAAATGTTTAATTTTAATACGAACTTCGTACCGCCATAAAAATAGGGGCAGGTGGTAGAAGAGAAAATTTAGGGATGTATGTATTTTTTAATACCACATTATAAAAAAAAATATTGTGCTAAAAAATTTTAGGGGTGTCTAATGAAGTGTTCTATCAATTTCCTGGGATAACATTCCTCCTAACCCAAATGAGAACACTACGTTACAATACCCAATAGTTTAAATTTTGGCGCGAAGGCGCATTGTAGGTTTCAGAACACTACGTTACAGGTGGACAACCATTATCACTTAAGGGTATGAAAAATAGATAGTAGCCGATTCTCAGACACACGGAATTTGCATATAAAAGGAGAATGGGCAAATCCGCCTAGATTGCGCTTGACGCATTTATGTATCAAAAATCTTCTTCTGAATTATCATTTCATATGTGTGTTTATTATGTAAATATTATGCGGATATTTAAAATAATAAATAAATGGCTATTAAACTGAGTAAATAACCAATAACCATAGATAAAAGTTGTATCACCTGGTCGATACTATCGTAGGAAAAAAAATCGATTATATTTCTTTATTTAAATATTCTTAACATAAAAAAACGAGTGTGCTTATGACTAGACAACTGAAGTGAAACTTCTTTCATTTACTAGCTGTAAGAGAAAAAGAGAAAGAAAATGCGTGCGCGCGCTCTTGCTCCTACACTGTGATACAGACAATAGGCTTGCACTGTGCTTAGATATACGGAACGTATTTGGCTATGAGAGGAAGAGAGAAAGAAAATGTGCACGCGCACTGCTTTCTCATGCTTACATCCCCCACTCAACTCCCGTTCGCCTCGCCCGATCACACTTTTCTTAACGCTTACGTTCGCTAGCTTACTCCCCAAGTCAAGAGTGCGTAAAGAAGTTTCACTTCAAAAAGAAAAAATAAAACGTTTATTATAATTGAAAGCATAGAACAATTAATAGCCTGAAACATTTTTACCAAACACCGTAAATGACTACGAAATAATGATCATTCGTTAATTCGTAGTCATTTTTTATTTTGAGGTTTTCGATGCGAGTTGTTTGATTTTTGTATGGATCGATGGATAGATTATTTTCCCCAAATCGCCTATTCAGAGGGCCTGGTTTCGAATTCCGGTGAGGCAAATGTTTGTATGATGGATACGAGCATTTTTACCAATATTATATCATGATAAATAACATTAAATTCATAAAGTTATCATTTGTAAGACCTGTGTTGTGACTATCTCACTGTACCTACCAGGGATTGCTCTCTTTCATTGCATCTAAAAACTAAAAGGAACTTAATGGGCTGCGCAAAAGAGGATTTTTTGCCTGCGGACTATTTTGTTCATCAAACAGTAGATCGCATACTAAAACTTTTATATGTGTACTACATATTCACATCTTAGATTAAAAAAGGGAATATATTTTTGTTTAAATTATCAGTTATGTTATATATAATTACTTAATCATATATAAATTAACTCATGGTTTGAACATTTTAAGCATTTGCATTGAAAATAAAACATTTATTAATCGATTGTGTAGGAATCGATTCCTATATCAAATCGAAATATATACCATAGGCAAGTGAAGTAGGTAGCTGTCAACTTGTTGTCAACGTGTTTGTTGTTTGTTCCGAGTGACTAACTACTTAAGTACAGTTTTCAATTTTGAATTGAATTTGTGTTTTCAGTGGTCTATTGTGGCAGAATAGTTTTAATGTTGAGTTGAGTAATCCTCCGTTAATAACTTTTTTTTGGGAAAGAGAGCATTGGACTCGTTGATTTAGTGTTAAGTTACCTTTAGTGATTCTGACAGAGATATTTGGACTCTTAGTTTATTGTAATTATTTTTGTTTACAATGGCATCTGGTGTTACACAAGAAAACGCAGGCAGTATGCAACGACGTTGTATTAACTGTTGTATATCAGTGCCACGACGACAGCCAGTACATTCTTTGGACATGCTATCCAATTCAATGCTTAATGTTTTAAGCTCATGGATCGCACCTGATTCTGTAAGTAATTATTTACTTATATTACTAAAAATATATCGTTATACAATCGCAACCGTGAGATAATGTTTTAATTTCATTCACATGTTCAAATAAATATAAATATTTTTGACTTGTTATAGATATTGAATGGGGGCATAGTGTGCAACGAATGCTTTATGCTACTACAAGCTAGTGACACCACAGAAGAAGTACCTGCACCACAATATGGCCATCAACAAGTCTGTTTTGGTTGTGGAAAATCCATATTAAGAAGTCAATCGTACAGGGTTTCACTACACTGTCCAGAAAGATGATATTCTTAGATGGACTCCAGCACATCAGGTATGGTATAAGATATTATTATCAATAATAAATTATTAAAATTGATTTCAATGCTAATTAAAACATGACTGTGACATTATTATTATTTTTGCATTGCATGATTGAAATGTTATATTAATAATAATTTATTTAAATTGATTTCAATACTAACTGAAACATGACTGACATTTTTTTTACATTGCACAATTGTCATGTAGTATATTAATGAAATTGATTATATAATAACTAACTCAATCATGACTATGGTATATAAATAATATATATAGTTTTTAAAGATTGAGTTCTGGATAATACTGCAACTACCTATAAATATTTGCACGTCGATAAAAGCGACAGGTCATGTTGGTTATATTTTTGAGATCTGTATAATTTACCATATCTTGTCAGATAAATGATTTATTATTATTATTATAAGAAATATATTTCTATTGCATAAAATAGTTGTAGATGGTTTTTCATTAAATTCAAGTTCACTTATCTTTTTTTTATAGGTGTCAAGAATTTCAAGAGTTTGTGCTGCCTGTTGGCGAGCAGCTAATAGAAGACAGAGATGAATCGGTCATCAATTGAACAAATTGATGTAGAACCAACAGAGTCTGTACCAGTGATCCCAGTACCACCACCATTTCCCGCTGGTCTATTACCTGTTCAGCCTTCAAGACCTGTTATACCTAAGATACAGTCATCAGTATATAAGCGTGCTGTAGCCAATTCATTGAGTTGTCTGTTTTCAGGATGCCGGGAACAACAATGTTTATTAGTACCCAGAGTAATAAGAGAAATGTTATTAATACATAATAAATTCTATGTTCCCACATGTTGTAGAATATGTCAACATCACTTGAATAATGGGCGTTGGAGTGATTTAACATCAAATCTGCAAGATTTTACTGGTGTACAGTTTGATGCAATTTTGAATATAATGCAGAGAGCAGTTTCCCATTGTTTCGACTTTGAAAATATTTCTGCAATGGCTCCTTTCTTATGCCATTATTGGCTGGGAATGAATGCTGAACAGTTTGATGAACTCTTGGCATGTGTACCAAGCTTATTACAGAGTGTCAAAAATCCCCGTTTAGCACTCTGTATTTACATAGTCAAGTTAAGAACTGGGGACAGCAATGAACGATTAAGTTCCCTCTTTCAAATGTCTCGTAGGACCTTGGAGAGAAAAATGAATATAGCTAGAAGTTGTTTAGTTGAAGATTTTGTGTCAAGACATTTGGGCTTTGGTCATGTAAATGTGGAGCAAGTGGCCAGCAGAAATAAAATAATCCCGGAGGGATTGTTTGGTAATCCAATCTTACCAAATGATATTAAACCCGCTATTGTTATGTGTGACGCAACTTATATATATGTCCAGATTTGTTCTTTTTTAAAAAAAGGCAATATATAAACCAGGATTAGAGCACGCTTAATGTATAAACTGCTGTGTTAATTGAACTTAGCAGAGCTTTAACTGGATATTTCAAACTCAACAGGACATGGTGGCGAGTTACAAAAGATATTTTAGGCGAAGTCACTACAGTTCCACTGGATACGGCATAACCTCAAAAATATAAAATAAAAATAATGTCGATTTGGATAAATGTGTTATCAATAAATGATTATCATTATTAAAATATTTTGTCTTATTTATTTTTGATTCCTAAACCTTAAATAATATTAGATCCATTGTTGGGTTAACAGAGCATCAAAGGTGCAGCTTGAGCGTAAAGAGAATAAGTATAAATAGCACTAATATAACCGCACCTCAACAACGCCACATTTATTAAATCTGAGATGTTTGGAATAAATAGAGATAGATAGCAGCTCACCAACGCAACAGTTTACAAATATACGCTGCCCGTTGATAAGATTTTACGCAGCGTATGCATTCAATTTTTGTTTCACTCCCAGTCCAAAATAGAAGACAAAAGGTCACAACCTAATTAAATACAGTTTAAAGTAGTATACCTAGTAATAATTAAGTATGGTATAAATATCGAATTTAATCGAATCTACATATGACATAACCTTAAAATGCTTACGTAATTTAATATTTTCTTTAAACCACTACTTAAGTTTCTAATGATATTTTTCCTACGCAATATACACCTGATTCCCTATTGTTGTACACTTATTCCAATAAGACGCAATGAAAAAAACTTAGCCCAACTCCCAAAGTAAAATGACCATTCTCCTTTCATAAAAATCGGTCAGGCCGTTTCGGAGGAGTATGGTAACTAACATTGTGACACGAAAATTTTATATATAAGATAAGTTATTTACGGGATTGTTACCATGTACCTTGTTTGTTTTCTTTTCTCTTGTATTTTTTAGCTTGTAAGGCAGGGCCATCTTTCGCATTGTAGGTAACCCATAATGTCAAATGAATACCTTTACAAGCATGAAAATTAAACACCTGAAAGAAGAACAAGGTACATGGTAACGGAATTGTTACCATGTACCTTGAACACGGAGTAACTGTTACTCCGTGCCGAAATATACGAAATGTCCTTTATTATATAATCGAAATATCCAATACCGTAAATAACTTATATTACTATGATGTTAGTGACCATGAAAGTTCAAAACAATATATTAATATTATTAACTTCCAGTTTAAATATAGTTAATTACCTGTAAACTCTGCACTGTGAACTTGGCGATGAGTTCGACCAACCTCGGATAGTTGTCCACCATCACGAGCTCCCCGAGCTGGTAGTTGGACTTGAGGCGAGCGAGCAGTCGGCAAAACTCGTGGTAATTCGTGAGGTCTGATAAACCCTGGTAATAATAAAATAAATAAAAATAAATATTTCCGACACACCAATTAGCCTAGCCCCAAGGTAAGCACTGTAAAGCTTGTGTTATGGGATACTAGGGAAACGGATAGAATACATATACTGGTGTCGATTCTGGCAGGATTATCTAAACTTAAAACTAAATTTAACATCAGTCTGTCCTTCTCATTCTGGATAGAGAATGACAAAGATACACTGTTGTCAAATTTAAGTTTAGCTTTAGAGAATCCTGCCAGAATCGACATTAATGTACATATATAAGAATACATATTAAACATCCATGACTGTGGAGTACAAATGCTCGTATTCATCACACAAACATCTGCCCCCACCGGGATTCGAACCCCCGGGTTCGTGACCCACCACGCGGGCCCAGTGCGGATTGGTGGGTGCTAACGACTGCAGATGCAGCCGGGACCAACGGCTTAACGTGCCTTCCGAAGCACGGAGGAGCTCGAGATAGTAAATTTTTGGTCACCCATCCAATGACCGACCACTGCGAAAGTTGCTTAACTTCAATGATCGCAGCCGAACGATCTACCACTTGCGCACAGTGTTTTATGGAACCAAAAAAATTTACATGTTCAGGTTCTTACATAAATAGATTATTTATACCCTAAAAAAGGCATGAGTTCAATTTACAGAAGTCTAACTCAAATACTTTTTGAGAAAAAAAATCATGAACTTATCGTGACCTTTGACCTATGAAATCTAGAATATTTCTTTATAAAGGGAATATTAACAATATATTTTTTTAATAAATATGTGTCAATCGGGCATAATCAGAGGCTTATAAACGCGTTTCTTTAGCTTAAAAAAATGCATTGGTTTGGGAGCAGCATTTTTTTTTTGTATTTTGTATTTATTGTTTTTTCTCCCTAAAAACGAAAAAGTGGAACCTAGAACTTAGATAGAAATAAACCTACGGATGTGGTCTATCATACATAAATAAGCCACGTGTCACTTTTGCGGCGTTTAGAAGATATTAATTTTTAAATTTTTATGCTAGGGTTGACACCGAGTGTTTTATAGATTCAAAAATATTTACACCTTAAGGTTTTTGCATAAATCAATTATTTAAACCCTAACAAAGGCAAGAGTTCAATTCCCAGATCACTATTTTAAGTAAAAAAAAAAAGATATGAAGTAGCAAAGTTTTTGAAATTTGCGCATGAAAATATTAACAATTTAATTTCCTCAAAAGACGGTTCCATATCTGTCCATGAGATATTTGCCACTTGCTAAGGAATTATTGATGGCATAATTTTGTAATTTTATTTTATTTATAAGTGTCCTAGTTTCCAAGAAATATAGTTTTTTTAAATTTCGATTTTTAATTTTTTTCTCCAAAAATCGGTAAAAGTGGAACCTGGATTTAGTACAGAAAGGTTCTATAAGCCAAGTTCTATCACCCATAAAAAAATCAAGTTTCACTTTTGCGGTTTTAAGAAGTTATGACAGAATTTAGATAAAGGTCAACTTTCATGATCTAGGGTTGAAAAATATGTCCGTTTTTATAGTTGGCACCCGATGACAGTAACCGTTCATAAAATCCTCATACACGGTGAAGAAATTATTGCGTCCAGTGCACTGACCATCGGTATGCTATCTGAACAAGCAGCTGAGTCCCGAAATAAATTCTAGCGTTCAGACAGAGAGCATCATTGCCGAAAAATGAACAGGAGAACCACAATGACGGACCTCTTTCACCGTGCCCTAGAATCATCAGACCCGTTTATTTCTATGGCAAATATCAGCCAACGTCGAAAATATTCCAAGCGATTTCCCTTGCCTTCAGCTGTTTGCGAGCTCTTACAACCAATTGATGCAGATCGATTGCCGTTATTCGAAGCAGAGGAAGATGCTGAAGATGAAGATTTTTCGAACGTCGCAAATGAAAGCAACCTAGAATTCTTAAACGAAGATGATTTATTTGTATAAAAGTTAAAGTAGAGGTGTTGCATAAAGAAGATGCCGGCAGGTGATGACACTATCCTAGATTGATTTTAAATGTGTATGAATTTCTAAATCCAAAATTTCATCACAATCGTTAGATCCGTTTCCGAGAAACCAATTACATACCAATATATTTATATAGGTACATATAATAATTGCTCGTTTATAGTATAGGATGTGTCTTAAATTTTTTCAAACAACATAGTTTATTTTTTCGTTACCATTTAGCGTGTAAGGCAAAATTAAAATGTGGTCGTCAAAATTAAAACATAAAGTATTCCTACATTATCACATCTACATTAGGTAGGTAGTATATGTAAGTATATTGTATTCGTCTATAAGTACAACACTTATTCAATTATAATATAATATAATTTATTCAATTGATTGACGGTATTAATAACAAAAAAAATTAACATTTTCATTTAACTCATAGTTGACCTTTGTGACAACCCTAGATCATGAAAGTTGACCTTTATCTAAATTCTGTCATAACTTCTTAAAACCGCAAAAGTGAAACTGAAATTGTGAAATTTTTTTATGGGTGATAGAACTTGGCTTATAGAACCTTTCTGTACTAAATCCAGGTTCCACTTTTGCCGATTTTTGGAGAAAAAAATTAAAAATCGAAATTTAAAAAAACTATATTTCTTGGAAACTAGGACACTTATAAATAAAATAAAATTACAAAATTATGCCATCAATAATTCCTTAGCAATTGGCAAATATCTCATGGACAGATATGGAACCGTCTTTTGAGGAAATTAAATTGTTAATATTTTCATGCGCAAATTTCAAAAACTTTGCTACTTCATATCTTTTTTTTTTACTTAAAATAGTGATCTGGGAATTGAACTCTTGCCTTTGTTAGGGTTTAAATAATTGATTTATGCAAAAACCTTAAGGTGTAAATATTTTTGGTTCTATAAAACACTGTGTTGCGCCATCAAGCTAATCAGTTGGTCCTTCAAGTAATAGTTAGCCTTTGCCCTAATACCCTTAGCACGAACCATTATTAAATTCGAATAGTTCAGTCAAACGTGTATATTGATTTTAAGTTCTCGTTACGTCCGTTGTGGCGCTGCTGTTCAAGTTTCCACACAAAATATGACAATGACATTTAGCACTCGTAAGCTATTCGAATTCGATATTGGTTCGTGCTAAGGGTACTAAAGTGATAATAACGTATTTGGTGATCTCTTAAAACCTTAACGAATGACTTGTCTGTGTAATTATTTTAATAAATAAGTACTTGTACAGTATAACAATAATCATAGCTTAAAATGATGACCTTAAAAGTGAATGAATGAATGATCACTTTATTGTACACCATGAAATTTTAAATTACAATTAAAAAGATAACAAATTGTTGCATGGTAAACATCTAACCTGCGTATTCTCAAGTATCCTCAGCACTCCTGCGCACAGTCTTGTTAGGAACTTGGCTCTTTCATTGTTGCTGAACAGAGATCTTCGTACGGAAGCTAGTTGGACGAGACAGGCGAGTGAAAGGGATGCTAAACCACCCCCTAGTAAGTGATATAACTCGAAGAATAAATCCAATGTGCTCGATTCGAGGAATGTGGGACGCCACGACGTGGGGATCTGGTGGAAATAAATAATAATAATAATATTCTTTATTGACATACATCTCACAGGACATACAAGACATTAAACATGACAGTGAAAACGTACACAATAGGCGGCCTTATTGCTAAACAGCAATCTCTTCCAGGCAACCCATGACAGTGAAATAAATAAATAAGAGGAACAAGAATGTTATATATATATATAAATGTGAATGTAACTTTAATAAAACTAAATAAAATAAATATTTCCAACACTCACACCAATTAGCCTAGCCCCAAAGTAAGCACTGTAAGGCTTGTGTTATGGGATACTAGGGTAATGGATAGAATACATATACTGTACATATATAAGTATATTTGTATAGAAATACATATTAAACATCCACGACTGGAGTACAAATGCTCGTATTCATCACACAAACATCTGCCCACACCGGGATTCGAAACCGGGACCACTCGAGTTGACGACACCATAAAACCCGGTGTACATACTGCCACTGAGGTCGTCAAATACAATGAAAAAATCATTAATTCAGTCTAGTCTGTTACAAGCACTTTTGAATGGCGCGAAGCTACGGTATCGGTTCGAAAAAGTATGGCGGGAGACCTTGTACTGAGAAGAACCGGCAAGAATCTCAGCAAGGGCTGTTTTTTCACCCTGTATTATTATATACAGAGTAGTCAAGTTGAAAAATGACTTCAAAGAGCATTCTGAAGTCACCTTCCATTTAAAAAATTTAGAATTTAGCTATACACAATAACATTTCTAGCGAGCTTGAAATTTTTGAGTAGTTATATAGGAAGCGGCTTCAGATTCTATTCTATTTAAGTGTGTAACAATAGTTGGCGCTAATGGCTTTTGCAGCAAATAAAGTCAAAGTCGAACTTTCTCGATTCAATTTAGATGCATAATAAAACTATTTTAATGAAACTATTTTTAAGAGATAGGGCACAGTGGTTCTTCCTCACGAATAACAACTAGGAAATCTGGGAAAGAAATACTCGAACTATACACCAAATTTCATCCAAATTGGCTTAATGCATGATGCATGCAATGCGTTAAGAGACAGCAGACAGGCAGACATATTTCCGCATTTATAATACTAGTATACATACCTGTACAGTGCACAAATCGTCGGAACACGTCACTCGTGGTCCCGATGAAGTCGAAGTTCATTTATATATCTATGTGCCTATTTGTCTGTGACTATGTGTGTTCATATATACAACTAGCTGTGCCCCGCGGTGTTACCCGCGGCTTATTAGGGATATTTTCCCGCAGTAACACGTAGCCTATGTGTTAATCCAGGGTGTCAGCTAACTCCATACCAATTTTTATTAAAATCGCTCCAGCCGTTTAGACGTGAAAAAGTAACAAACATATATACACTCACAAACTTTCGCCTATATAATATTAGTGTGATTATGCTTTCTCTATAGAAGAAAACTTGTCTGTTTTGACATTTTTAAGCAAATTATAATATTACATATATATCGGTCAGGAATCAGTTTGTTCGATCGCACTTTTTGAACAGGTTTCGGCCACGATTTTCCTCGCGATGTCGTATATAACTAGGCTTTTTAATTGTTTTGTATATATACTAGTATGCATACATACATACCTGGACAGTACACAAATCGTCGGAACACTCATCACTCGTGGTCCCGATGAAGTCGAAAGTCAAACAATTATGTGCGAGTCTCAATAGAGAAGCTATTAAAGAGTGCTGACACTCGTCGCTCAAGTCTAGCGGCTTCACTCGCGCGGTGCCGAGCAGCGAGCAAGCGAGACGGAACATTTCGAATAGCTGCGTGTCTCTGTCCGACAAAGGAAAAGAGAATGATAATAAGGCAAGTACCTAGAATTATTATAGTTATGCATAATTCCAATACCAGACTATTTTTGAGTTTTTGAAAATAAAACATCGGTATATTGTTTTAAACTTTCATGGTCACTAAGATTATACGTTATTTACGGGATTGTTACCATGTATAATGCGATTCAACTAAGAATAGAACCGACTGGGCGCCATATTTTGACGTCATTGCTGTCAATTCAAACCAAAAAGGAAGGGTGAGCAAAAAAAAGTTTCTATTTAATAAAACTTATTTACTAAGATTAAGTGAGAAAAAACATCAGATTAAAAAAAATACTAAGATTGAGAAAAAAAACAACCGATTTTTAATAATATTTCTTTATTAAGACTGAGTGAGAAAAAACATTAATAAGAATCTAGCGTTTCAATTCCGCTCATCTCTGCATTACCACCGGAGTAGTTATGAATGAATAATCATGCAGGTCACATACGAACATGCATCCTATATGGCAACGAAAGTTTTAAATCGAGTTTCTGAACGCAACATAAAGTGACATTTGGTTGACGATTTAGGTTATTAACCACCCATAGCCAAAGCTCAATAAAGGAAAAAAAATATCAACCAATATTTAATTATCAATATTTGTTATTGTTTGTTTAAAAATATTTGGTTTTTTTTCTAGAATTAGCTGAGTGCTAAATAAGTGTTCCGAGATTTTTTGCAAACCGTACTTTTCATACGACATTTGACAGACGGAGGTCATTGGCTTTCCTTTTCTTATTTGAATCGCATTTTACCTTGTTTTTAGCGAGTTTCCGATATTTCGGCACTGTTGCAAGCGCCATGATCACGGATTAACTGAAGTAATTGCCGGTAGGCTGTTATTGGCAGAGTTATCGGTCTACCCTCCGAAGAAGTTTTTTATTGCTTTTATAACTACTTCATTTGTCATATTAGTGAAACGCGTTGCCTGCCAGTGTTGTTAAATACACATGCCAATAATTGGTAGTTTATTTATTTAATACTGTCAAATAGCCTTTTATTAGTTAGTCGCAATAGAGGAGCTATTTAAGTGTGCTGACACTCGTCACTCAAGTCTAGCGGCTTCACTCGCGCGGTGCTAAGCAGCGAGTGTTCGATAAACGGGATAAAAATCAAAATAAGGTAGTATTGTTCTAGCTATAATAATTCTAACATTGATAAAGAACACAATAGGCTATTTGAAAAGATTTTTAAAACGTTCAATCGTTATTGATTAGTGTACTGTATTCTGACTCCATAAAAAGTGGATATTTTAAATTCTGTGTATCAGTAGAAAAACGAAATGGAAAAAAATATCGAATATGCCGCGGAAACGTAGCCAAAATGGCGTCTTACAGGCAGGTGACGTCACACGGCTGTCATCAAAACGTCAACGTCACTTCGATTGCACATTCACAAGCAGTTTAAAGCTCAAAACCTTTACGTGAATCCAATGAACTAATGGGTTGATAATAATGTCAATATTCACCTGAACGAAGAAGCTATCTTCCTGTGTTTGGCCAGCGATCTGTTGGCATCTGCCTCTGTGACTTGATTCATTTCAACGACCAACTGTGACAGAAGTTGGACACCCACTGTGCACATTTCCGCTGGACCCTAGAAACAAAACGCTTATTAGAATTTCTTCAATAATACTATAATAATCCATAATAATATTAAAAAAGCGAAAGTGTGTCGGTCTGTATATCACCTCTTCAAACTTTAACCATTGAACCATAGATAATACTAGTGGTCCGCCCTCGCTTCGCTTCGGTTAAGAGCTTTAGTATAGACCAGCTATACTCTAAGTGTGTTCCGCGGAACCCTAGGGTTCCGTGATACCTCTGTCGGGGTTCCGCAAGAATTTAGAAATAAAAAAATCAAAACACCTCTCTCTGGTCGCTCCGCGGCTGTGCGGACTCCGCGGCCGCGCGGAGACAAAACGCTATGAATGTTATTTATTTATTTATTTGTATTTGTATAAGCTTGTGTTACATTAGCTGGTACAATATCTCATAAGTTTGGTCTCAACAATTTTATACTTGTACAACGCGTTCGCTCTAAGTTTGCCGGTCTGTGGAATGCGCGTACCCTCCCCCACGTGACAACAAAACTTATAATGTGTCATAGTTTTACCCAAATATCTAACGTACACAATTTTTATTGTTACAATTAAATAAAAAATTTCGAACGTCATACACTCATACCTATCGCCAGCGGCAAACTTAAAACGAGCGGGTAGTATACTTGTAAGCGCTCAGTCTCTTTGATAAAAGCCGCCTCTGAATTAGACGCTATAGTTGTCAACTAGCGACTTTCGTCTCTAACTTCAAAGGATAAAGTCGATATTGTTTACAACGCTATTTTTAAATTTCTGTTTTTATTTTTGCTTTTTGTTTATCAAAGGTGCCGACTCGAGTATTTTCGAGAATATTTGAGATCGAGTCTAGGACTAAGTATAAAAGCGGCGATCGCGCGTTGGCGTCGTCAGTTGATGATTAGCGTTCGGAGCGATAAGTTACTACCTACTTACAAGCTCGCTAGCGAGAAACTGGTGTTCATTGTTTTACTGCCTGCTGTATTCTGTTGTCTCAGTTTTATACATTTCTTCCCTGTAGGTTCTAAATTTAGTCTCTTATACGCAGTAACGATTGTGCATTATTTAAACCCCACTATCCTGACTTGTAACATTATAAATAAAGAAGAATGGAACGTTGGCTTAAAGGTGTTAAACGTGTTCCAACAACATCTTCTAATGACGCTGAATGTTCAAAAGCAATGCGCGCGGAGAATTTAGCAATCACCGATCCAGAAGATGATGCCACGAGTGCCACGACGTCAAGCTCGACGGTTTCAAAGACGAAAAAAAGGAAGTATGATGAATCTTATATCAGTTTCGGATTTGTTGATTCCAACGGCTCACCTCTCTGCATGCTCTGTAGTAAACTGCTTCCTAATAGTTCCATGGCACCTGCCAAATTGCGTCGACATTTAGAAACCGTACACCCCGAGACTAAAGACAAGAATAAAGAATTTTTTGTTCGCAAAAAAGATCAGTTATTAGAAAGTCAAAAAAATATGATGCATGTAACACAAACTACCAACGAAAAGGCCACGGAGGCATCATACTTAGTTAGCTATCGCATTGCACAAGCAGGTGAAGCGCACACTATCGCTGAGAAATTAATAAAACCATGTGTATTAGACATAACAAAATGTATGCTTGATGAAAAATCTGCAAAGCATCTTTCTACTGTTCCGCTATCAAACGATACTGTTTCACGACGAATCCATGATCTGGCAAGCTACGTCAAACAAGAACTAGTTACACGTCTACAAAATACACGATTCGCTTTGCAAATGGACGAGTCGACTGATGTCGCTGGTTTGGCTATCCTGCTGGTTATTGTGAGATATCCATATAAAAGTTCTTTTGAAGAAGACATGCTTATGTGTTCATCGCTGCTTACAAACACTACCGGGGAAGAAATTTTTAATAAAATAAATATATTTTTTGAAGAACATAATCTCAGTTGGAACAATTGCATTGACATTTGTACAGATGGGGCCAAGGCGATGACAGGTAAAACAGCAGGAGCAGTGTCACGAATGAAAAATAAAGCGCCTAATTGTAGTTCCAGTCATTGTATTCTGCATAGACAAGCACTTGCGATGAAGCAAATGCCGTCTAATCTAAAATTAGTTATGGATGAAGCGGTAAAAATAATTAATTTTATCAAATCACGACCACTACAATCCCGATTGTTCTCATTATTGTGTGAAGATTATGGCAGCAAACATAAAACACTGCTGCTCCATACAGAAGTGCGATGGCTGTCTCGGGGAAAAACTTTAACAAGGCTATTTGAACTTAGAGCCGAGTTACAAATGTTTCTTTCAGCAGATACTTCTTTTAATTTGAAGGACCGTTTGTATGATAAAACTTGGTTGTTCCGATTGTCTTTTATGGCGGATATCTTTCAAAAACTTAACGAATTAAATTTATCATTGCAAGGTAAACAGACAACAGTGTTTCAGGCCTATAATAAAATAACTACTTTTAAAAGAAAATTAGATTTTTGGATCATTTGCATTGGTAAGAAAGAAATAGAAAGTTTTACGTTACTCACTGAGTTTGTTAGCGAAAACGACTCAGAAATGTTTGAAGATAATGTGTTTGAAGAATTGGTCCAATATCTCAGTTCGATGCGCGCATCTTTTGAAAAGTATTTTCCCGAAGAACACAATACAAAAATTAAAGTGAACTCCTGGATTCATAATCCTTTTTTACCCAACTTGGAAAAGCCTGAAAACATGTCAAATGAGATATATGAATCTCTTTTAGAAATGTCATCAGACACAAGTATGGAGTCATTGTTCAAAACGACGCCTCTTAATGATTTTTGGTGCAGAATCCAAGATGAATATGCAATGCTTGGCCAAATGGCTCTGGATATTCTTCTCCCGTTCCCAACTACATATTTGTGCGAAACAGGATTCTCTACCTACGCAGCCACGAAAACAAAATATCGCAATAGACTGGACGCCGAAGCTGATATGAGACTCCAACTTTCTTCCATCAAACCTGATATCAAGCAATTGATGAAAAATAAAAAACAGTTTCATACCTCCCACTAGTTAGATTTTTTCTTTTTTAATGTTTTCTATTATTGTCCTTACCAAGTGGTGAAGTAAATAATAATTAGTAACGGATACATTGTACTTTTATTATGCTGATTAATATAGAATACACTTATAAAAATAATTGTTTTATTGTAGGGTTCCATCAAGTATTTTGCTTCCCAAAAGGGTTCCGTCATTTAAAAAGTTTGAGAACCACTGGTATAGACTATAGTTTTGTCAGGCTTGTATTATACACAATGTCTTCTATACATATAATAAAATGGTAGGAAAGTTAAAACTGTACATTGAATTTCTTTTTAAAAGAATACTTGGGGTGTGATTTATATCTATACTGAAGCCAAAAATATATTTTTCAGAATTTTTGTCTGTATGTATGTCCGGGATAAACTCAAAAAGTACTGCATGGATTTACTTCAAATTTGGCACGAATATTATTAAAAAGTCGGGTCAACATATAGGCTACATATTGGTGTCGATTCTAGCATGATTCTCTAAACCTAAACTTAAATTTGACAGCAGTATATCCTTGTCATTCTCTATACAGAATGAAAAGGAGAGACTGATTTTAAATTTAATTTTAAGTTTAGAGAATCACGCCAGAATTGGCACCATTATCACCTTTACTTCTTACTAACTCCACGCGTACGAAGTCGCGGGCGGCCGCTACTTTTTTTATATAATTAGATCACGCTACGACCATTAGGAGCGATACATCGATAAAAATGTAGAAAAGCGGGTAAAAACATTTCATTTGTAAGATAGAACTTACCTGTAGGAATGTACCGACATCATTCATGACGTTGTGGAACACAAACTCTTCTTTGAGCATGTCGAACCAGCTCAGCTTGGTGATGCGAGCGAACAGTGACACCAGGGACTGTTCAAAGAGACCAAAACTTAGTGATCAAACGAAATTATACTTTATTCAAATTATATTAATAAATAAATAAATAAATATTTCCAACACTCACACCAATTAGCCTAGCCCCAAAGTAAGCACTGTAAGGTTTGTGTTATGGGATACTAGGGTAACGGATACAATACATATACTGTACATATATTTTATATTTATATAGAAATACATGTTAAACATCCATGACACGTGACAAATGCTCGTATTCATCACACTAACATCTGCCGCCACTGGGATTCGAACCCGGGACCTCTCGAGACGGCGACACCATGAAACCCGGCGTACAAACCACTGGGCCAAGGAGGTTCATTGTTGTAGTATATATTTTTTTTAATTCTTAAGTAGTAATATTTTTTTGTCATTATAAATATTACACTTTTTGAACAGCTCAAGGAATATAAAGATTACAGTGTGGTTTCTTTATTCAAATTGATTTATTGAAAGCTCTTTTGAATTGTCTAATATTTTTTCCTACCCACCCATTGAGGATATCTTTTAGCTGTTGAGAACAATGGCCGCAAGAAACTCATCAGCGTTTCACACTCGGTCGTGGCGTGGAACACTCGATTGGAACGAACTCAAAAACACTATAAGGGGAGGGAAAGTACTATCGCGGAATTTTGCGCTCTGTCACTTGGCGAACAAAATGCATTGAACGGTTTTCTACAGTAGTTTTTACTACGCCCCGCCTTCGCGTCGGACGCGCCAATCCGGGCAGCCGCACAAAAGTAAGACAGAGAGCATTTTATTGATTGAATAATGAATTGAATTGCATTTGTTTTAGTTGCAATTTGTCATCCGCATCGTGATCGCGACAGCGCTATACGAAAAAGTAAGACAGCGATAATTACATGTCTATGAATGAATTTTTACTACGCCGCTACCGCAAGTGATTACGGCATTATGGGTGACAGAGCGGGTCTGACCGCGAGTGTACCTACTGTGGAAACTACCATTCATCATCAACAGCCTATTATTCTCCCCACTGCTGGGGCACAGGCCTTCCCTATGGATGGAATAGGGAGATTATGCCATGACCACACGCCCCAGTGCGGATTAGCGGGTGCTAACAACCAACGGCTTAACGTGCCGAAGCGAGAGAAACTGGAGATAGAAGATTTTTGGTCACCCATCCAATGAGATGAGAGCGCTTGAATGAACACTTTCAATCGCCGCGGATTTTACCCACGCCCTAGATAATAATCTTAAATACATTTATGGATATTATGAACCAAAAGGGACACCCGAATCAACGAGTTAAAAATTATATGGAAGCATTATTCTCTAACAAAGCTAAAAAAAAAAAAGGTTCCAAACTCATACAGCTTCAATACTTAAAAAAACATACTAACACGACACGCACAGAGACAAAATACTTTGACAAATCAAATAGATCTCTGCAAATGAATCCGGCTACCCATTCATTGGGTAACATAATGTTAAACGGAAATCCCAGCCAATCTGATGATCGTAGTGTTCATCGCAGTTTAATTGCCTCACCCCAACGATATTAAATACCCTAGATACAACATCACGTACAAAATCGTAGCCGAAACCTGTCCAAAAGGTACATTGGACGATCCACGGAACCCAGTAAGATGATCGCGTAGTAAAAAACTATATAAGGCCTTATTTAAACATTGAGAGTCACCTTTAATGCATACTGTATAAGGTTTTTATTAAAACGCATACGTCAAAGAGTTATGACAAAAAGAGACGGCTATATAACTGACCCTGCATTTGAATATGGCAAATATTTTATATTCATTCAGTTAAAAACGTACTATAAGTATTTTTTTTGCGTTTCGTCACGGAGCTTTGCGGCATCTTGAATTTTCTACGGTCCGCGCGTGACTGTGAACCAAGAAGTGCTTGAGTAGTGTTCAAGCACTTCTTTAATGGAACACATTTTGAGCGCACGTGGTGTATCTAGGGTATTTAACATCGTTGACTTGAAAGCTCAATGGCTAATATTTTATTGCTTCGTCATTATTCATGTGTAACATCTTCCTCTCGCTTTCCTGCAATTTGTGGGGAGTGATTTCGTGAAATGGGACGGAAGTGTGTAACAGGAAGTCGCGAAAGCGCGCGCTATTTGATTGGATTTTAGAACATAATGTTCAAATAGCTTATTCCTTTTGTAGTAGGTTTTATTTCTTTTTTTACTAATATAAAGTGAGATTTCAAATGTTACACATCATACGCGACTACTGTAAGGCTCGCTCGTTTTTTTGTGTAATATCTTAAAAAATATGTAACTAACATAAAAGCCTATTTGTGGAGTTATATACACAGCATTATTAAATTCTATTTGAAATATATGGTTCATATTTGTCTGTTTAATCTACCAACAAATAGATAAAATAAATACCTGAATAACAAAATTGGCGAGTTTGGGCCTTGTTGCGAGGTAATTGAGAACATAGTTCCTTATATCCAGCCTCTGCTGTATTGACAGACTGGTCGTGGATCTGTTGGTAGACACATACACGTCGAGTTAGTAGTAGGGATTATAACATACAGGCAGTCCTCATACTTACGGCATGTTAGGTTCTCGAAATACGCGACATAAATCGAAACGACGTAAATCGTGACATATTTTTTCATATGTTTACATATAAAACTCAACACAGCGCTCCGCGAACGAACGTGTTTCTATTAATATTTTGATTAAATTTAAACATCTAGCAGTTAAATGCTTAAAAACAGAAAAATATGTACAGACAATCCTCGACTTACGTCGTTTCAAGTTACGTCGAACAATGTTTTACACTCAAGCACACGTCAATTGTTTCGATTTCTGGCATAGGAGAATTCACTTGTCGCGAGGTCAATGTCCATGGGGTCGGCGTCCGTGGAGATGTCTCGTACGTCGTTTCGAGTCACGTTGCGTATTTCGAGAACCTAACATGCCGTAAGTACGAGGACTGTCTGTATTCACAACTAGATAATCATAAAACAACGCTGTCACCTGTTTATAAGCTTGGCTAATGTGGTAGCAGCGAGTAGCTGCGAGTAGCTAGAGTCGGCGCGTTCCAGCAACGCCTGGCATTTGCTTAATGTGTCTGGAGACTCCTGTCGGAATCGGATAAAAAAAATCTTTAACTTACAAATTGTATTTTTTTCAGCAGAATGACAGATAAGCAAAAACGCCTAAATAGCAAAATCCCAGATTAGCTCATTTCTTTGTCGTCATTCGTAAATGGAATTCTTTGCCCGCGCACGTGTGCCCTCCTCCCTACAATCTGAGGTCCTTTAAGAGAGGCATGAAGAAGCATTTTTGCAGGCCGGCAAAGTGAGGATGGTTGGTGTAGCAGTTTCTAACTGCTGTACCAGCTATCTTCGCGTTCGGACTTTATCACCAGTTAACATCAGGTAGGGTAGAGTCATTTGCCTACCTCGCTATAAAAAAAATAGCTGAAGGACAGATTTACAAAATGGCAGATAATGTACTGTCGTCTTCAAATAATATACAAGGATAAATAGAATAAAACAAATTGAATTATACCTTATTATCAATTCAAGCAAAGAGGTCATTGCTTTATATATCTTAATGGCCAGTTTTAATTGTCATAAAGTCGTGAAAATTTATTTTTAACACATTGTTTAATCTATCACGAGTTTTGTTAAATTTCTGCCATAGAATGTTTTGATATGTTTCGCCAAAGTTACAAAGACAAATTAATTCGTCTTAAAGTAATAATATTTTCAAATAAAATTTTATGAATTGTAACTTTTCAATTATTATTTTTTTTGTTTTCTATGTTGCTCTGTACTTCTTTCTGCCTTTATGCAAATCTGTCCTTCTGCTTATCTGGAATTTTGCTATTCAGGAATATCACACTAATATTATAAAGGAGAAAGTTTGTGAGTGTGTATGTTTGTTACTTCTTCACGTTACAACGGCTGGAGCGATTTTAATAAAATTTGGTATGGAGTTAACTGACACCCTCGATTAACACATAAGCTTACTGTTAGTTCACAATTTATTTTCCTTAAGTGTCGCCGCACACGGGCCACACGCCACAGCCACAAACGCCGCCACGAGAAGCTAGAAGCGGCTACTAAGGTGGCTGAAGCGCGCGACAGCGGCCGACTAAGGTAAGGGAGAGAGGGGTGAGGAATTGCGCGAGTGACGTGTGGCGGCGTTCTGTATCGGCGCATTAAGTTGCCGGTGCTGGCCACAAGAAGCGAGCAACGACGATTTGTAGCGTGTTGCGGCCACCGGCGTACCGTGTGTGGCGAGTCCATATAAAATGTGTGAAAACTACAAGAAATGCCGGTGGCGGCGTTTTGTGCGACACTTATAAACCGCGGAACAGCGTGGGGGGGGGGGGGGGGGGGGCACAGGTAGTTGCTTATATGTCCTGCTGCTGCAGAGGGGTCTTTTTATGTTAAAAGATTGGCAAACAAGAGAAGTTTATGAGAGATAAGGGAATAGCGGATAGTCCGCTCGAATTGGAAAAGGTTGGGTCAGGGTAGACAACCAGTGATTATTTTGATAAAGGATTTTTTTATTCCATGGTCACGTGACCGAAGAAGCCTGGGAAGTAGGCGAAGACTAAAATGACGTCACACGTTAGTAAACTTCCGCTCAAAGTGACAATACACTGTCTCATTTGACGTTTAAACGTATTTAAACGTACGACAATCGTTGCACGTCACATACCAGTGAGACGCCATAATTAGGCATGTGCCGAGTCGGGAAAGTATTCGAATATACTGGTATTCTTTAAAAAAAGAATCAAGTTAGGACTCGAGTCGGAAGGGTCTAGTACCCATTGGACCCTCCTAATTGGACCTTACCTACAAAAAAGTGCCCGTTCGACCGTCTTGATAGGACAAGACCGGGACAAGTAGGTATTTGAATACTTCAGTGAATGCTTAAAATAAAAATATAATAAATTATTACAAATATTATCACTTATTCCAAATATTAAAAGAGTGTGATAAAAATCTTATGGCGATGTCCATTCTGAACATCAGCCTATTAATGTCCCCTCTGCTGGGGCACTGGCCTTCCTATGGATGCAATAGGGAGATTGGATCATGACCCACCAAGTAGGCCCAATGCGAATTGGTGGGTGCTATTGAGGAGCTCGATGGCGCAACTGGTTAGCGCGTTCGGCTGCGATCGTTGAAGTTAGGCAACTTTCGCAGTGGTCGGTCATTAGATGGGTGATCAATAATTTACTATCTCGAGCTCCTCCGTGCTTCGGAAAGCACGTTAAGCAGTTGGTCCCGGTTGCATCTGCAGTCGTTAGCACCCACCAATGCGCACTGGGCCCGCGTGGTAGGTCATGGCCCAATCTCCCTATTCCATCCATAGGGAAGGCCTGTGCCCCAGCAATGAGGACATTAATAGGCTGATGATGATGATGATTGACTGCAGATGCAGCCGGAACCAACGGCTTAACACTAGGTGCGCCGAAGCACGGAGGAACTGGAGATAGTAAATTTTTGGTCATCCATCTAATGTTGCTATCATTCAACGATAGCAGCCGAACGCGCTAGCCATTTGTGCCATCGAACAGTAAATGAATAATATAATTAATTTCAGACAAACCTGGAAAGCAACCACAGCCTTCTCCGCCTGATCTCGCACCGCGGGGTCCTGGGACTCGTACAGCTGTTTACACAGCACTTCTATTTGAATCACCTCCTGATGACAAACATGTAATATAAGTTATTTACGGGATTGTTACCATGTACCTTGTTTTTAGCGAGTTTCCGATATTTCGGCACTGTTGCAAGCGCCATGATCACGGAGTAACTGAAACTCGCTAAAAACAAGGTACATGGTAACAATCCCGTAAATAACTTATATTACTATAATATTTATTTATAGTTTATTGTTCACGTACAAAAAGATTATTTCTAAAAAGAAATTTCTTCCAGTACACCTAGTAAGTGAGACTGCAAATGTGAGAGGCGGCTAAGGCGCGTACAATACTAAAATAACTCATAATAAACGTACATAATGCAACATAGATGTACACAAATACAGTAATAACTACAGATAAAATACTCTAACAATAATATTACATATAATACTAGCTTTTCTCAAATCTACAATGTTTTAATTTTGTCAAACTGGTAATGACGTCAATTTTGGGAGAAGGGGGGGGGGGGGCATTAAGAAATGACGATGGGATGATTGTAGGGGGGGGGGGGGTCTAAAATCTGAAAACATCGATGACGTAATTTATGGACGGCCCCAAATCATAAGTTAATCATAAGTTGTTCAGCGCTAGAGTTGCGAGCCGTGACCTGTACTATCCTCTTTGAAAAAATTCAATTATAATGTTGTTAAAACAAAAAATACCCACTTCGAACATCCTCAGCAACCGAGCGCGTAGCACCATCTGACAGTCCCGCGCGGAGCAAAGCTCTTTTTGCTATGCGGAAAGATACTTGAAGCGGCAAGTCGCAAACACCACAATACATAGCCAAAACGATTCACGCTTTTATTACGCCTGTGGTATTTTTCACCCAGTAGCGACGAACCCTTTTTTTTTTTTTAACGCAGGTAAAAAATCTTTTTACAGACGACGGCGCCTTTAAGAGGCACACCGCCGAACGGACCTCACACCTGGCTCCCGCAAGTCTTACGGACCCCCCAGTGGCTACCCACCGAGGACCCCGCAACTCTTACGGGCGCTTTACAGCATAATATCCGCTAAAAAAGTCCTGCGAATACCTCTACACTGCTTAGTGCGGAGCCGCAGGGTACCCGTTAGGGATTCTACCACGGCTCCGCCCCCAGCAGCTTCCCGGCCTCGCCAGGGCTCCACGGCAGGGGTCTCCCGCGGTATTACGGGGACCCCGCAGATGTGCGCAGGTAGGCCCGCGCGTGGGGGCTGGATACGCGGCCTACTGCCCACCATAGTAGCGACGAACCCTGGGTTAAGAGAGGTAACGAACTTTCCACTCGAATTTGAGCGCCCATCTCCTTTCTTCCACATCCACATTCCAAAAGACCACAGTAAAATAACACAATATTTTTTGGTAGTGTTATATTCTGTCAAGTTATACTATACCCGTAATCATAAGTGTCTAAAATTAAATGCATGGTGGAAGCTTACCATCAAAAAACAAGGAGGCCTATCGCCTATAGGGATTGCTATAGTTATAGCTATTGCTTACGATATCAGTTTGTTATTTCTGACCGCCAAAGGTTTTCAAATCGAGCCCCTACCGCCAAATTATCGTAAGCGACATTCGCCAAATTATCGTAAGCGACAATTTTGTCGAAATGCGTTTTTTGTGGAAACTAATATTTTAAACCGTAACGGACCCATCTCTGTTGATATTTCCCTCCAAAAGAACACCGTAATAATATAATAGAGGGAAGAATAGAGGGAAATATCAACAGAGATGGGTCCGTTACGGTTTAAAATATTAGTTTCCACAAAAAACGCATTTCGACAAAAGTGTCGCTTACGATAATTTGGCGAGTGTCGCTTACGATAATTTGGCGGTAAGGGCTCGAAATGCTTCGTGCCCTTTTTTATCTTTAACATTGTAGTGGTTAATGTTGACATTACTTTTGTAATGTTATTTAATGTAACTTTTGTAGTGGTTAATGAAAATGAGCGTGAGGTATTTGAATATCTTTGGCGCTCAGAAATAATAAAATGATATCATTAACGATAGCTATGGCCATGGCTATCCCGAAAGGCAGTAGGCCCCCTGAAAATGTTAAAAAATTTAATTCAATTTATTGGTATCACAATTTCATATGCAAGTATATTTCCAAAGTGCTGGAGCCTCATACAAAAACTCATTCATAAACCCTTTTGAATGGGCATTGTGTCTGCATCAAAGCTACAACTTGCCATCAATTATATTTATGAGTTAACCATTGTTCTTACAAAGAGAGCATAGGATGTAAGGTTACTCAAGTCCATAAACCAAAACCTAATAGATAGTGAATTCATGCACTTCCTATAAGAATGAACAAGTAAAAAACTGGAAATTAAGTCATCATTTTACAGCAAGACAAACTGAAATTTAATACACTTTTATTTAAAAAACTTGAAGAGATCTTTTATTATTTTATTATTGACGACCTCCGTGGCCGAGTGGTTTGAACGCCGGGTTTCATGGCTGTCGCCGACTCGAGAGGTCCCGGGTTCGAATCCCAGTGGGGGCAGATGTTTGTGTGATGAATACGAGCATTTGTACTCCAGTCATGGATGTTTAATATGTATTTATATAAAATATACTTATATATGTACAGTATATGTATTCTATCCGTTACCCTAGCATCCCATAACACAAGCCTTATAGTGCTTACTTTGGGGCTAGGCTAATTGGTGTGAGTGTCGGAAATATTTATTTATTTATGATACAACTGCTAAGCTTGTTTAGAACAAGAGTAAAAAGAAAAAGGTATTTTTTCCTTTACCGTTGCACAAAGCTAGTTAAGCAGTTAAGGCTGAATGCGTCTGCACTCCTTAGCACCAACATTTGGTTGTTGTCAAAACAATGTCTGCTATGTGCAAAAATATGACTTTAAGACATAGCAGTAATACAGTGCAACCTTAAGGGTGAGGCCAAACGAGCGTAATTTTGTGAGTGGTGAGTCGCAGAATTTCGGTCGCAGAAATTGGCAAATATTGGCAAATCAAAAAAAACTGTTTAGTCTCAACTTTAAGGGAGGATAAAATATTGACATTTCACTACGATTTGTAGTTATGATGAATGTCAATTATAAAAATCCTCCCTTAAAGACGAGACTAAACAGTTTTTTTTGATTTGCAAAATATTTGGTTCGCCCTACTTTGCCGCCTTTGATACTATAAGACTCATTTACTTGTTCCCTTCCGATTTGTTATAACGAGGTTGCACTGTATTTGACAATATTGTGGCTGTTGCATATACCATATTTTTAAGCGACCTCTTTTCACCATTACAATGCTAAGATTCGCAATTCGTCAATGATGAAAATGTCAAAATCTCTAAAAAGTACACAGAGCAAAGCAAAAAGAGGTTTGACAATGGCGATTTACTGTACTTATGTTATTTTCTATGTTTTATAGTTTCTGCACTTAGTCTTTAGGTGGACCGTTGTAAGTGAACCATGGCAGCTGATTAGTTATGAACTAATGTGATATTACATGACCCTTTCTCTGTAGTGTTAACATCAAAACTGTGATTCTACAGTGAGTATAATAACAGTCTGATGAAGATCAGACGCTTCTGTAGAGTTCTACCACCTTCTACAAACTTTTTAGATGCTATGACTGCATATTTGTAAAAAAAACATAAGCTGTGGTGTAATAATGGTTGTTCTTTTTAATGTAATGTAGTATGTAATAAAGTAATGTAATAAAAATGCATATATTCATATTTAATGTGCTTTAGTTTAATACTTTAACTAAAAGTTAAACTAAGATATGCCTCTATAAATGTGTCAAGATTGTATATAAGAATATACAATACTCTTGACAAGAAATTGATACTAATAGAAATGAAGCGTAAAAAATTGTTTTCATCATTGAACACTATCGAAGTTACAAAATTTACAACTACAACTTTCCTCTCTTTATTAGATATGGCTAAGTTATTGAAGTCAAACTCAATGCATCAAACAATACTTGTGATACTAAAATTTAAACATGAGCTCAGACGCTAATGCAGAAATTGGGAAACAATAAATGAAAACAAAACATGCATGGATTATTACCCCATGATCTATTTCAACAAATCGTTTTCAAGGGTAATATCTTTGTCAACCTAAAACATCATAATATAACCAAGACGCCGGTAAGTTTACAACATTATGATGTCGGTGATAACTAGATAGAATTGTTTAGGGTTATTGTCACGATTTGACACCAATTTTACCGTAAAAATGGCACAGAAAGCTCATTCACGGCTATACCAAGTCCGGAAATGTAAACATAAAACCAGAGAACTGTAGCCGGAAATAGTGAGATTTATTTGAGAAACATAACAAAACCCATATTAGTTACTTCTGAAATAGTTATTTTTGTATAATTCAGTTAAAATCTAGCAAAATAACTCGTATTTTGATACTCACCTGTTCCTCAGCCATTTTTGTTATTTTCCTATAACTTTTTAAAAATGTTTAGATAGTGGCTTTGGACAACACTGAAATCATAGAGTATAGAGATTAATGTTTAACGTTTGTTATTTAGGGCCTGTGATTATTGTTACCAAATTCAGAAGTTTACAAGTGTTTTAATTAATGTATGGTTACATCATGCGTGTTGTAATGGTTTCAACCTAAGCCCGTTTTCCACTGAGAAAAAAGAGTGGATGGAAGATATTACTATTCGATATACCTATTCAGGGGGAATAGGTAGAAGAAATTGGAAAGGAGAAGCCAATCAAACGGATTCCTTATTGAGATAATATTGATAAATTTGCTGTATTTGTTTCAATCACAGTGAAAAGTAGGAGCATAAGGCTGTTTGTCCACTGCCGCCATCACCGTCACGTCACCGAGAACGAGATGACGGTGCCGAAGTAGCGGTACATACATTTACTTAAGCCGTGTATCCACTTAGATTAAAACAAAAAGGGTAGATACGGCACTAGCCTCACAAAAGTGATCCGCATAAATTGTGGTCCACGACCCTGATCGCTTTAGCAGCGCTTTAGTCACAACTTGACATGCAAACGACGTACATGTGAAAGCCAAAAAGAAATATTGCTAATATTTTGTGTTTATGATAAAACAATGCCTAAGTGTGTTTTTAAAAAGTGCTCAAATTGCTCAAAAACTTAAAATAAAACCCACGGAATCACTTGCCATTCGTAAGTACTATAAAATATAGTTTTTCATAAAAATTGCTGTTTGTTTTGAATCTTATTCGGTAGTGACGTCGAGTACTGGTCGCGTGATTGGTCGGTAGTGCAGTGACGCGGATCTCGCCGTCTCGTTCGCGCTGCCGTTGAAACTTAACGTGCTGTTTCGTTCGCGTCGCTAATGCAGTGACGCGGATCTCGCCGTCCCGTTCGCGCTGCCGTTGAAACTTAAATTGCTGTTTCGTTCGTTCGATTGTATCTTTACAAACAGGTGGATGTGTGAGTGTTGCATATGTAGTAAAGTGGGATCAGTTTTTGTTTGATGCAAGTATGAGCGTACCGTATCTACCCTTTTTGTTTTAATCTAAGCGTATCCACCGCACATCCGTCACTCGAGCGCTGTCATCCCGGCCGGCGAAATTGCGAGTAGATCGGCGTGACCGCTAGAACGTGGCCCGAGATTTTGATGGGCCGATGTGCCGGCAATACAAAACACGTATGAACTTGTCCACACACTGCCGTCGCCGTCGCACCGTACGCGTACACGAGCTCAGTTTAGGGACACGATATCGAATAGAAAGTATCGATACTGTACTCATGAGTAGTATCGGTAAAAAAGTATCGTACTCGTAAAAGTATCGAAACAAAAGTATCGATACTTCAAAGTATGGAGTACATTTCATAGGGCCTTATCGGAGCCTCTGTGGCCTGATAAGCAACCCCCCCCCCCCCCCCCCCCCCCCGGTGTTAAAATAGAAAGAAAAACAATCGAGTTTTATTATAGTACGTATAATCAAAAACAAAAAAGGACATGTAAATTCACAAATTGCTATATTATGTAATTAAAAAATAGCTGTGTTTTCTGACACTAAAAAAGTGTTCATTAATATTACATTCATAATTAGGTACAATGTTAATTAAAAAGATCGAAATCTTAAACAATTTAAAAGTATGAAACTTTTCAGATTTGTTTCAAATTAAACTTACTTTTCTTGAATTTTAATCATTAAAAAACATTATACCCGCTTATGTTAACTTGAATCTGACACGTAGTTAACGGCTGCCATTGGCATGCTTCACTCAAGATTATAATTATAGAAGAGGTTACGTCCGTCTTTTTTTTCAGGTGATTTCAAATAGGTATACACAGCACAGACAGAATAATAGTGTTACACTTGAATAAATCAAATACAGTCAAGCGAAAAGCACAATAAACGGCGAATCAATCACAGTTCCTAACAATATGGTCGCTAAATAAATAACTATGAAACAAAACAAAGCGCAAAATAAAGACAGTCACAGATTGGAAAGAATTTGAATATGTCAGTTACTGACTTTATAACAACGCAATATGGCATTTGACAGTATTAAAAATAAAATGCCAAAATAACGAAAAAGATATTAGTTTTCTTATCTATTGTCACGTAACCCAAAACGCTTGGAATTGGCGGAGCCTAAAATGACGTCACACGCAAGTAAACTTCCGGTCAAAGTGACATTACATTGTATCGTTTGACGTTTTAATAACAGTCGTGTGACGTCACACACTAGTAAGACGCCATATTGCCCAGAGAAACGTTTTCGCGGCAATTTAAAAATTGAGTTTTTGATTTGGTTATTTTTACTGAAATACACGACAGAATGATGAATATCCATTTCACGGACTCCATAAACATTAGTCAATAACGTGAGATCGTTGCCTAAAACTTGTCAAATACCCTATGGAACGTTTTAGAAGGTTTGCTATGATTTAACAAGATGGCGTTGCCATCAATATGAGGCGCTTATCCAAAATTTTAAAGGTATCGATACTTGGCAAAAAGTACTCATTTAGTAAAAGTATCGAATACAAAGTATCGAGTACGAAAGTATCGGTATCGAAACGAAAAGTACTCGATACCACAAAGTATCGATACTTTTTTCGTGTCCCTAGCTCAGTTCAGTTGTCTGTCATTAATAGGCTAGTTTACTCATGTCGAATTGTATTAAATAAATGTTTATTTCTTAAAGTGTTTAGTCTAAGGAACCTTAAAATATCGATTTCACTTCATAAAAGCAGAAGATTGCTGTAGAAATTTAATTTTAAAAAATATTTTTTAGTCTATATTTTTTAAACACTAAAAACGCTGTTCGCCACTTTCGCCATGATTTTGACGTCTCTTGTGGTAAACAACTAAATGTCATTCGCGTGTTACTGTAGGTGGATTATTTCGTCTGACTAAATTTATCTTAAAACACTTTTAACTTTAGGAAAGAAAAAAACAGTAAACTTAGTTTTTTTTGACTAAACAAATTATGGATGCCGGCTTTGTGAAACCAGAAAGCACAAATCTGCCAAGAATTGACGCATTGATGGTTGGTGAATTTGTTGCACTAAACCCCGATTTCTGCTCTGCGGAGCAGAGAAACGACAAGGCATCTATGTAAGTTCAGTGCATTTAGTATTACAATGTAGTAATAAACATAAAACTGATATAACATATGAACAAGTGTAATAAAGTTGCGTAGGTTAATTTCTTTCGGCACTTTAATCCACAACTTTCCTGGAGTCTTCAAGGATGTGTTTTTATATTCTCGTACAATACAGTAATGATAATTACTTTATTTTTCGTGGTATTTATTAGAAATCATGTTTTTTTTTTATTATAAACTCAGTTAGAAGTAATTTTCTACGTGTTTACGAGTTTTTGTTTACCACAGTTCACGTCATAGCATAGACAATCTATAGACTAAAATGGCCGACAGCGTTTTTGTATGTCCATGAAAAGTCTATTTTAAAATTAAAGATTTGTAGCTTTCTAGGTTTAAAAAAAATACAATACATTTTTTTTCGGTCTAATAGAACATTTATTAACCATTTAAAACCTTTTTCCAAAAAGGGTCAACTAGCCTATTATCATACTATATCATTGTAATAAAAGGACAATGGGCAAAATTGTATGGACGCTGCACCCACGTCCGCCACGGTTTAAACTACATTTGTTTGAAAGGTATTATAGTCATAATCATCTGTGCCAAAGCGCATCAAATTCTATCCCGGGGGTCTTTAGTTATTTTAAGTTAAATAGGTATAAGTTCATAGGTAAACGTAACTATAACGAACATAATATATATTAATGATACAAGGACGATTATATAGGACGGATATATTATTTGATGATCTCCGTGGTGGAATGGTATGTACGCCGGCATCATGTAATGGTATCATGGTGTCGCCGACTCGAGAGGCCCCGGATTCAAATCCTGGTGAGGGCAGATGTTTGTGTGATGAGTACGAGCATTTGTACTCCAGTCATGGATGTTTAATATGTATTTCTATATCAATATTCTTATATATGTACTGCATGTATTCTATTCGTTACCCTAGCATTCTATAACACAAGCCTTACAGTGCTTACTTTGGGGCAAGGCTAATCGGTGAGTGTAAAAAAAGGAATTAATTATGAAACATTATTTCATTTCAAATATTTTTAATAATCATCATCCACAGTGTCTAAGAAGAGAGCCGGTCTGCGAATATCCTCGTCATGTCTTGCCAGACATAAAAACCATATGACCACCATAACATGAGCACAGCAGCCTAAAGTGCAGTTTCCCGTTTAGCATGAGCATAATGAATAAAATAAGTAATAATGTTTTAATGCATTTATTCCATTTTCGTCTTCATTTATCAATATATAGGAGTAATAGAGCTTAGACCTCGTATGCCTCGAATCTATTTTTGCTCGCAAAAGCCACAGATTATTTTTGGCAAGCTACGCAAGCACGGTTATTTCATCCAGCCAATGTCAAGTAAAAGATCCTTCTTTTACTTGACATTGGCTGAATGTGTTGTGGATCGTTTCTCATGCGAAGTAATGTTCTCCTAAATAAAACGTAGGCCCTTTTAGGCGCTATTTAGCAGTCCTATGCCACGAAGAAAAAACAATTTAAGAGAAATACGTTTATTACTTCTAACGAAAATTATAATAATCAATCAATCACTGTCAAAAATTCAAAATGTGAAAAATTAATATATGCCATAAACTAGTAATTACAAAAAGGTTGGTATCGGCAACATACTGCCCGCCTTGCGCATACGCAGGTATAAAAACTAAAGGATTATGCGCAAGAACCATCAATCTACATACAGTAGAAATTTATAAAACGTACCTATTCGTTTTGTAACAATTCAAGTTAACACACATAACTAACACAAAAAATAAAGTAAGTAAGTCATAAAAATTTTGAAGGGATTTTAACGAGACGACCAGACCTCGTAACCTTGGGTGGTGATGCACTAGGAGCTGTGGATGCATTTGAAGTACTATCTACCTTGGACATTGATGCCTGCGGAAGTTGCGTCTGCGACAGCTCTAACGGAAATAACCGTTGAAACGCTCTTAACCTCTCTCCGTGAGCGGTTTTAACTCTTGCCACTCTAGCAACATCATCGGATCCCGAGACTATTTCGGTAACTAGTCCTAAAGGCCAGTTAATA